TCTGTTCTTCGTTTCAGTTTCCCTGCTTCGTCACTGGGTTACTCCTATCACTCTGTGGGTTATTAGAACAAATCAAGAAGCCTTATTTAAGCCTAGAATCATCTCCAAGATTTGTTTACAATATTGGAAACAGTTACTGAGTTTAAACCAAACCATTGAACTAACATGCTTGAAGAGCAACACTGTAAACAATTTGCAATATCAGTTATGATCCAACCCATCTGTTTCTCTTCACCCCTGCACCCAGGAGTCTTATATCATCCCAACAACATCTCCATGATCCGTTTACAGAAGATAAAAACAAGTATGATAATTAAAACTACAACAGAGTTTAACATACTTTACTGAATAGAATTGAAACAAACACGCACAACCTGTAAACATATTTGATTTTCAAGCAACCAGATCACCAACAGAGCATATAATAAACACGTAAGTTTCAATTATTAATTAGTTCATCCCTAGAGATAATCTAAGTGCACAGAACACGAGCCAAGGGAAGGAGGAAGATAAGAACTTGCCTTTGAGTTACAGACTTGAAGTTCTAAATTCCCAGTTTCTATAGTCTTCCTTGAACTGCTCTGCCAATTCCCCAGTTTCACGCTCTGTTTCTTAACAGCCCTTGGTGATACAGACGTAGCTTTACGTTTTCTAAAACCCTAAACCCCAGTATGTTCATATATATATAGGCTTTAATTTACCAAACCCTATTCCAACTCTGATTATAAATCGGCCAACGATAAATCCTAAAACCCTAAATTTAAATAAATAAAATAATTACACCGTGAAAAATTAAACATTTAAATTAAACCAATTAAGTTAAATAAATTAAATAAGTCAATTTAAAACAACCCATTAAAAAAATAAGAAACAAAATAAAATTCATAATTAAACAATTAAAATTCATAATTAAACAATTAAACACTTCAACAATAAATGCCAATTAAATACATGTCAAATAGATAAACAATTAAATAAAATCATTAAACCAAATAATCACGCAAAAATACAATAAAAATAATAAATAAATGCCGAGACTATCCTTTTAAAATTAGGAGTATTACAGGGGGTGAGAACCTGACGTGGCTTTGCCACAGAAGATTCGGTCGTTTTTTCGGGAATACCTTTCGGTTCCCTTTTCACTGCTCTTTTATATAACATCTTCAATACTTCAATTAACACATTGAAGTGTAAAACTTCCAGTGAGTACACTCACTTTAACTACTTTGCAAATTATTTATTTGTCCTTCCGTACCATAGATGTAGCTGTTTGCGTCTCCGTGCCTAAATATTAATTTAATCACGTCATATTCATTTATAAAGAGTATAAAATAATATTATTCATTTTAATATTAAATCCTCACCGTGGTACATAAGTGTAATAAAAATTTTATATAAGATTTCTTGATAATAACTCGAATCAAGTCAGAACCATATTACTTCACCCAATTTATTAATTCAATTAGAAGAAATTTAGTGAAAAAATGATATTAATTAAGAACAGCACAATAACTCAATTATTTGAAGAATTAATTTTTTTTTTTGAAGAATTAATTCAATACTTATAATATAAAAATCTCAAATACAAAAATCTCTTCCTTTAAAGTTGGTATTCCGTAATTTCTCTAACTTTATTTATTTATTTCCTCCTCTATTCCTCCTTTCCTCCCTTCTCTGCCGAGCCCACTTCTTGGTTCCCCACTGATTTCTTTCCCTTTTCTATTCCCGTTTTACCAAAGGCAGCCTAGTTGAAAATCTTCTAAAGGAAGTTTTGCTAATAAAAATACATACTCATCTAAAAGTACATGTGTCATGTGTGTGTAAGTTTATTAAAATTGTACTTCTATATGACCAAGCAGTCGGCCACCAAAGCTTCTAGAAAAAAACTTGGAACAAATACAATTCCATATGTATATGAAAGTCTCCAGCGCGCGCTCTCTCTCACACGCGCACACACACAGAAAAGTCAAAGTCCACAAATTTTCCAAAGAAACTTCAGCATGATATAATATCTGCTGTAATATATATATATATATATATATATATACACACACATATCCACTTATAGGTGGTTCGAGTGTAGTTTAGTGCTGCTCATACAAAATGTTTATATATAAATAATTTTAAATCAAAACTAAATTATGCTAAATAAAGTGATTATGTATTGGGCTTACAATAATTATTCGTATTAAGCATTAAACACCAATAAACAAGCTATAATTTTTATTTGTGTTTTTTTCATTAGTGTATATATAATTGATGAAAATATGTAGTTTTATATAAGCAAAGGGACTACCTGTTTCCATTATAACCCTAATATCTACTTTCTATTAAAGTAAAAAATAATTAAGAAACACTTTCCTAGTAATTAATTATAAAAAAAAGGTAATATCTACTTTCCATGTTAAAGAATAAATAGGACACACTTTTGGGAAAATTATATTTTGGTGACCAACATTAAATATAATTACTCTATAGTGACCTTAAAGTCAAGAAAAGGTGAATAGTGATTAAACTTAATTGATACTATTAAGTGACCATTTGATGGTTTATTACCTAAATAGTCTTCTTATAATATATTATTATATAAGTGACCAAAGTTACCCTCTACATTAACCTAAATAAATACTTACTTAAATTGATTAACAAAAAGACGACATATTATTAGGGTGAGTTTCTGAAGAGAAGACTAAGATAGGAGACAACTGAGGACGGATATTCTACATCATTTTCTTCAAGGTTCTAAGAGGTAGGATGAGAAAGTTGTAAATTTTCTTCTTATTCATTATTTTCAAGGTATAGTTATTATACTTTACGAGTTAATTTGTTTGAGAGATTTTCCTTAAGATATAATATTGTAATTTTTAGTACTTAGTTATAGTTTAAGAAATAATGACCATTGTTAATTAATTTCATAATTTTGCCAACTATTAATGGGTGTTTCAAAAGTATGATTTGCCACTGTAAATGTTATGAGATCTTAATTTTTAAAATTGGTTAATTATAAATTAAAAAGGAAAAAAGAAAAAGTTGAATTAGAGAAAACGTTGGATGAGAGAGAGAGTAGATTAGAGAGAGAGTAGAAGGATGACTTCAATGACTTATTATTTGTATTTGATGGTAGTTTTGTCATCTGAAATTTATTTTTAAAATGTTTATCAAACCTTTGAGTGTTTTTGACCAAATTATTCTCAAATGGTCACTTAATATCAATTAAATTTCAACATTAGTCACTATTCACCTTTTTCTTGACTTTAAAGTCACTATCGAGCAATTATGTTAAATTTTAGTCATCAAAATATAATTTTCCCAACACTTTTCCAGTAATTAATTATAAAAATAATAAGTCACTATCGAGCAATTATGTTTAATTTTAGTCATCAAAATATAATTTTCCCAACACTTTTCCAGTAATTAATTATAAAAATAATAATTTAGAAGTTGACCAAATAATATAATATTAATCTGATCGATATCATCTGATATTTATTTACTTAACCATCTGAAATCTATTTACTTAACCGCTAACTAATAAAAATATACCACATGTTCAACATAGGACACATTAGTCAATAAAAATTTAAAAGAAAAAATGAATACTCATAATAGTGTAGAAAAAATTGCACACATTACTTCAAGGCTACAAAGCATCCGTGTTGTGTCGTACACCGATACTCGTTCAACACTCTTTGAATACGCGTTCATAAATAAAAATAACACTTTCAAACACAAGCCTACCGATAATTCCAACACTTTCAAACATTTCTGACAAAACCTACCGGTAATCTTTAGAATAATATGATCACAATCAAAACATTAAATGATATCCGTTCATTTAAAATAAAAATATTGTTATAACAAAGTGGTGAAATAACTGTATACATGATATAAAAATCATTATAACTATCTGTATAAAAATAAAAATAAATTAAAATTTTATAATACTATTACTCAATACATACATATATATATATACATACATACATGTATATAAATAAAAATTTATATTTATATACAGGCATATTATAATACCGTGTCCACACTAAAAATTATAATATGTTGCAACACATTACTTTGACCTGGAATAAATGCGTGAGAAAATTCGTACGCGCAGCAGTGATTTTTCATGTGCTGAATGGCATGTATGTACGTACATTGGTATAGACCATTGGACTCCATTTTTTTTTTCTCACCAGCACCGAGAATCAACTCTATACCCATTTTCTCGCTTTGAAAGTTTGAAGCCACCAATTTTTCATCGTCCAATTTTGACTTGCCACAACTTTGTCACGTTTTATTATATATTATATTGTCTGTTGCTTGGCTGTAATACAATGAAGCCACATCACATGGTCTCCTATGATTCGGGAACACATGAATCTCCATATCATCACCATTTGACCATACAACTTTAAAATCATTTACTTTGTCGGTCACCATAATGCAAATCATTGGAATCCATGTACGCTACTAATATATATATATATATATGTGAACTATATAAAATGCACCGACACTTTGTGATTTCTAATATATAATTGTTGGAGTTAATAAAATAAAGAGCTCGTGGGACGTATGGTACCATTCAATAAATTAGGTGATAAGAAACATCAAATTGCTTTGATAAAGAGTTTTCTCACACAAAAATAAACAAGCACCACCAACCTCAAACTCAAAACAAAACCATCTGAAAACTACCCTATAACTAATGGCAATACTTACATTTTCCTGTGATCCTTTTTAGACCATTTTTAAAAAAAATTATATATATATATATATATATATATATATATATATATATAGCTTACCGTTGACGCTTAGCCCCACTTTGGAGCATTAATTCTTATTGATATATATATATTAGGTTGGAAAGTTGCTGTCTAACAAGTTTTATTATGACAAATGAGAATAAAAAAGTTACAACTGCCAATAACTTATAAATTACAATTGCATAATACAATACATAACATACTTATACGTTGAACCAAACACCAAAAAAATAAAAAAATAAATATAATCATCATAATAATGCTAACAATTAACAAATGATACTAGTTCACTGTATACGATGTTCACCCAATTAATATCCCCTTTTCCAGCTAACGGCTCACATTAGCATGCGACATTGACATCCTCACAATCATCTAAACAAACCCACATCATACATACACACATATGACATAGTCTAACACATAACATCATCAACATGACAATATAACAATAAGAAATAAAAAAATAAAAATAAAAAAGTGAAAATTTTACAAAAAAGAATTGAGCTTGATCTGAGATCATTGAACCATCTTTCGACACGTGTCACTTACACACTTCATCTTCTTTCTTCAATTTCTCACCATTTTTTCTTGAATCAAATTCTGTCTTTTTTGAATGAATCGTACCTGAAAGTTTGTGGAAGAGTCAAATTATCAGAGCCCACGAGCCGTCTGATCTCTGATCTGACCTTGCAGAACACGTGTCTCAAGCTGCCCTTGTCATGGAAGCCCAGAGCGGCTCTTTCTTCCTCGTTCATTTCCAGATCTCTGGCGAACGTGGGCTTTCTGGATAGGATCCAGGCCCAGCCCCAATCCCACCATTTTCGGATCGAACTGCCGGCGTATTCGCCCATGGAGGAGACAGATTTGGAGCGGCGAAAGGCCCATGAGGCGGCGGGGGAGGCGGAGATGGGCTGGATCTTGAGAGAGAGGGAGGAGAGTCGCCGGCGGATCAGGCCCTGGTCTTGAGAGTCCGGTTGTGAGACTGGAAGTGCTGTTTGTTTGAATATGGAACTTTTCATGGTGTCGTGTGAAGAGCGAAGAAAGAGAGAGAATGAATGAAGAAATGTCAGGGACTTAAGAGGTGTTGTTTGCGTTAAAAGGTAGGAGGAGAGAGAGACTTGAGGAGAGACTAGAGAGAGAGAGAGTTGTCGAGGTTTGATATCTACGCAGTGTCCACAGCTATATTACAGGCTGTTTTATTCGCCTTTTAGAGAATAAGAAGGTGGTGGGTCCAATATATACAAGAAGTGGTCACCAATTAATAAATTGCAAAATTATTATTTTTTTCACCGATTATTTTCTTGTTACATTCTTTGTTATTTGATGTGCTGTGGGTCTTGCTTTTCAATTTCTGAAAAATTTGAGTTAAAAGATTGATCGGCCATGTAATAGTTTAAATCATTAATTTAACAATTTAAATTGATAATATAATAACTATTTAATAAATATATTAATAATATAATGTATAATATTATTAAAGATTAAGTGTAAAAAAACTCCCGTTATATAAAAATATACAAAAAAATAATATTCTTATTAGAAAAAAAAGATGTATATAACCCCTGTATTATCTATTTTTTTAGTAAATTATATCTTATTGAATAAATATGTTAAAATATAGTTGTTGGTGATGTCAATTTTTTTTTTTAAAAATCCAAAAAGTACCTCTTTTGTTTTGTAATAAAAATGCTCCTACCAATTTTTGTATATATTTGAACAGTCAATGAATTTGTTTGCACGTGCTCAAAGACCTATCCAAAAAAATCTCTCTCTAATATATGTTTTCTCTTTCTAAAATATTTCTATGTTGCCGTTTAGCAACCGGTTACCAAGAAGACGTCCTTTTTTTTTTTTTTTTTTTTTTTTTTTTTTTTATATATATACATATAGAAATATAATTTTTCTTGCAAATATTCTTTTCTAATTATATAAATTCTTTATATTTTCCTTCCATTCATAAAACTCTCCTTTTATAAGAATATATAATATATATCTTTCTAAAATTTCTCTGCAAGTCGTTGATAGTATCTCTCTAAAACAGCTCAAAAAAAATCAACAATCCAATTCAAATCTCTTTAAAACTATTAAAAGAAAAATTAAATTAAGAACCAGTTACAAATTTTTGGTATATATAGATAGAAATCATAAAAAAGTGATATATGGATAATAGAGAGACAATTAGATAAAAAATTACTTCTTGTATTCAAAGGAGGCCACATAAAAAGCAATATTACGAAGTTTGGATCAATTCTATGAGTATTTTTATTTGTGTGTACTTATTTATAAATAGTTGGATTTATATTTGTGTGGACTTATTTATAAATAGTTGGATTTATTTATGGGTATGGAATAGCATGGAATAAAAGATAAGGTTGATTGTGTATGAATAAAGTGTACATATACATGAAAGATGGATTGAGATTGAAGAGAGAGACCGTGTGTATATATATTTATATAGAAGAGAGAGACCGTGCGCGCGTGTGTATATAGATATAGTATTGTTAAGTTTCGCAGGTAGAGAAGGAAAATTATATATGAATTTAAGGTTAATTTTGACATTTTGTTTTTTATTTTATTATTATGATTAATTTTGGTTATTGATAAAGTAATTTTATTTAGTAATTTTAATGCCAAAATTATGATTTATCCTTATTTGCACAAATTGATAAAAGTAAGAATTTTTTTTGAACAATAGAGGATAATTGTACATTTTGTATATTATGAATATGAAAAATGATTCTTACACCAAATAATTTTTTTGAACAATAGAGAATAATTGCACAATTTGTATATTATGAATGTAAAAAATGATTATTACATAGAATAATTGTAGTGAATTGATAAACCTGTTTTTTTTAATTGGTCAATTATATAACAAATAAGAAAATAAAATTTTTCATTTAATTATATTTGATATAAATAACAAATTAAAAATTATTCGATTAGATCATTCATTACATTTATTCTGTCTATGAATATTGATTCGAATTCTTTACACGGTTCACAAACCTCTCATGTTTTTTTTAAAATAATGTGAAAAATTTGTGAGTCATCAGATGTAGGAAAACACACACATGTTCCACCCACATAACCATTACCTTTCCTTGAAGCATGGAAACCTCTTCATTCACATGGCGAGGCAGGAAGTCATAAATCATCCCTTTTTCCGCCAAAAGACGTGGATGAGAATCAAGCCATTGATGCAATGCCTTTAGAGGGTGGGAACCACATTTTATATACTCCGAATACACATATATACCACATTTTATCATTTTTCTATGTATAATTGTTGTGTGTGTGTGTATATATATATATATAGCTGTCGCTTGTAATGTCCGGGTCTACCTTCGTTTCCCGCTGTTTGCCGACAATGTAATCGAAGTACAACCCAAGTAATTTAATTAGAGGCTTAATTAGGTGTGACTATGGGTGTTAAAAAAATTTGATAAACTGAAAAATTAGACCAACCGAATCAAACTGAACTAGGCAGTTTTACCTAGTCGTATAGCTATTTGTTCCGGTCCTAGATTCAAAATTATGAAACCGTAAATTTTCGATTCGGTCCTGGTTTGGGGTCCTGTTGGACTGCCCTGACCCGGACCGAATAGTTATGTAACTTATATTATATATAGAAATATATATTTTTAACTTCATAGTGAATAGTAAACTAAGTCTATATATTTTTATTAATGACAAGAAATAATTATGATAGCTGGGGACTTCAAACATTAGCTATTCTGTACTTGATCTCTCTTGTTTTTTGAAATTTTGTCATAAATAGTAAACATGGAATGTTGTATTTTTTTCCTTGTGGTCATTTGGTCACTGTCTGTTTGTTTCTTCCACAGGTGCCTAATATTATTGATAATGTATATGTGATTGTCATTTGGTCAGTGTTGGTTCCCTGATGTATTATATATAGGAAAAAATAAAAGATTTTGTTTTTAAAAATAAAATAAAACAGACAAACCGAACCGAACCGAACCACGTCGGTTTTTCACGGTTTGGTTTGGTTTGGTTCCATAGACATTATGGTTCGGTCTGGTTTCAAAAATAATGGAACCGTTATAAATGGTTTGGTCCCAAAAAACTTCCAATCCGATCAAAAACGAACCGTGTACACCTCTATGTGTGATAAAGGGGGTTCTAATCTTACAATTTCTAAAAAAATTCATAGATGGCAAAAAAATAAAAATTAATAGATTTTAATAATCAAGATCTTGTGATTTAAGTGATATTTTTGCTACCTTTTAAATAAATGGTGAATGTTCAAGTATTCAAAGTAACAAAATGATTATGTATAAAATTCTTGCTAATAATAACAATAATAAATTATAATATAGAATATAATTCAAAGTTGAATAAGTACATATGTGTGTGAATTTCTTCTCAATAATAAAAAATAATAATAAATTTTAATATAGAATAAAATTCAAGGCTGAATAATGTATAATACTTAGAGCCAAAAATAAAATTGCTCACCTTCTTGGGAGCTGGTGTCAAAAGAATATTCCATTCTTTATCGAATTTGTAAAAGAGAGTGTGACGCCATGGGATGGGAGCAAAAACGGTTCTAATTAACATTTGCTTTTAGAATGCCCAATCCATTTAAGTTTGGATGTTGCCGTTACATTATATTATGTATTATATTTTAGGATTAGGGTTAATCGTTTTCACTTACTTTTATTATTTCATACAATATTACTTTATATAGTATATAAATGACTTGCTCTCCTGACCTCTCCTATTTTATTTATAAATATGTTCGTCTTTGTTCTTTTATTGCTGTATAGTGTGAAGTAGTGCTGGGAATGCCTTTAACATGTACATGGAATCTGCTCCTGTACAATACTGATATTTGGAAAACAGAGATCCTTGTTGAGATATTGAGATGAAATTAATTTTATTCAACGTCTGTCTCTATATGTATGTGTTTGTGCATTTTTTAATCCAATTATGTGTTGGAAAATACTGGGACCTGAGTTTATCCTTATCATAAAGTAGTATTACATGATTTATTATTATTATTATTTTTCTTTTTCTTTCCAACTCTCACCATTTAAGGTCAGGTGACACTTTTTCTTGGCATGCAGAATGTGGGATAAATGATTCGTTGCTCTGAGACAGCACTTGCAAATCTCAAAGATGCTGTCCTTGTTTAATTTAAAGGCAAGTGTAGGTTATGGATAGCTGACTATAGAGCAAAAAATTCAATTTCAATTAGAGAATTGTTACCAAAATAAAGCCGCAACAGCAGCGATAGAGTTCATTTTTATTTAAATTAATTAAAATCTAAAAAATTCAATTTCAGTTGGAGAATTGTTACCTCACAACGGCACCTTCATTGTAAAAGGTTTAAAATGTAAGAGAGGTTAAGGAAATCTTTTGATGTGATTTAATTTAGTGAGAACGTGAATGTAAGAGAGGTTAAGGAAGTCTTTTATCTAAGTAACAGTCAGAACATGGAAAATAAGAAACTATAAAAATATTTAAACATTACCATCCTTAAACTTTGTCTCCAAATTACACACTACATCCAACTAAAAAGAACTACCAATCAACACGGTAGTTGCTGCTGCCGCCACAGTTTGGTTTAGGAGAAGACGTCCGTCCCTCCTCATTGGAAGTAAAAGAAGTTGACACCCTAGGAAAAGACATTGCCGCCACATCTGTAACAAGTGGGCTCTGGTGTATTTTCTTGTTCAAATATAAACGCATGCCTTTTTTTTATAATGATTATGATGAAATAGGTGTAATGCTGGACTCTAATACCCATTCATTTCTTCTGTACATGAGCCGCAGGAACATGTACATACGGAATACGAGAATTTCCACCTTGTTGAAGATCTAGTGGTGCTACCCGAAGACTTAAATGAATAGCCATCGCTGTTAAGAACAACCGAGATCCAATGAGAATTTGCGTGTAGCTTCGGGTCTTTGACATCAAAAAAGAAGGTTGTAATAACGAAACGGACATGTGAGAATTTGGTCCTAGCTAGTGGAACAAGAAAGACATGGATCTATATTCAATACGCAATCAAAGGATTACATCTCCAACATTCCATTTCCTTCAAAGCAAAGTTCATTGTCAATCATACATACGGTGAATTGGTACCTATGATCGGATATCATACATACGGTGAATTGGTACCTATGATCGGATAGATCATAACCGGTGACTTCCATTCCATGGTGACCGAGTTGATTTTTTTCTTCTTCCTTAGTAAATATCCTGGAAATGATATTAAACTGGTGCTTATTAAAGTGGAGAGTTTCTCCTCTCTCTTGAGTACCCAAAAGTTGATCAATGCGGAGGAGGTCTCTTGGGAGATGAATGCCTCTTGGGAGATGAATGCCTGCCATAGTTTATTTTGAAGGGGTGAGAAGATATATGTGGTAGTTATATATAGGACTCATTCACATAATTCTGGGTTTATCTCACACTTCTGTTTTTTTGGAATGCAACACATGACTAAAGGTACATGGACTATTAAGTTTTTTTTGGACTAAAGAAGGTAATGGAATTATAAGTTTGCTCCTAAAAATTCGAGAATAATGTCGTTTAGAAATTGGTAGTTATATACAAGTGAAAATTGGTGTTTAGATATTGTCTCATAAAATAGGATTAAATTAATAAATCAGCTGTCAAACAAATAAGAAAGATGTCTGTGGTTAATAATATATTCAACTGTACTAGATGTGAATTTGGATAATATTTGAAAGGAATACGGTAGAAAAATGTGACTTTGAACAATAATTGAAAGGAATAATTTGTCAAGAAAAAGAAATTTTTTATTAAGTAGTACTAAACTCTGCATGTCTTTTGTGTGTGTTGGGAAGTACACTATTATAATACTTGATGATACACATTAAATATATATGAAGTCTTGTTCTTTAATGATATATATATATATATATATATATACCATTTGGTAACTTACAGTTTTGGCGTCTCTGTCCAACAAGAAGTTAGATTGGTTCCTTCGTTTCTTTCTATTTTCATAACCAATAATTTTGGCATGTTTGTCCAACAAGTGTGTTACTGATTCCTTTCTATCCTATAAGTAAATTGTAGAAGTTATGTTAAGAATACTGCATATAAACATAAAATGCAAATATAAATAAAATGCAAAAATAAAATAAAATAGTAATAATAATAATAATAAAAGACGACTTAACCCAGTGTTTTAATAAACTCTTATATACTCTTGTATATAATACATATCACATCCATACAATATACAACCTCTCTATCTCTCTTTCTTCTCTAACAATTGAGTCCCCTAACACTGTTACTTTCCGAGTTTTATCATTATTCACATTCTTCTTGTTCCTAACAATTAAATTAGTGAAAAACATTAGACATTCCATCTTTTGAAGTTGACACTTTTAATGTTTATTTAACGTAGAGTAATATTATGCATCCGTGGCGCGCAACAAGTATTTTATGTAAATTTAATCATTTGATGACCAATCATTCAATATTACATTCTTTAATATTGACAGTGAATTTTCATAAGCTGGCATAAAAAAAGGGGATATTCTCTTGAAATTAATGCCGAGTTACATATATCTGCAACGATACAGATATAGAGAGTAATATGTTCCTTTTATGCAATGGAGGGCTGAGTTTGAAGAGAGGATTTTGTGACTTATTTATGTTGGAACCAATTGAGAAGAAGAAACAAATCTTTGATTTAGGGGAGGGTTATGAAACAGATGAGATAGTCTCTTGTTCCTATTATCATTATTATTAGTAGTTAGATTAACACTTTAACTAGGTATTTATTATAATGCCAATTTGAATCATCTAGAAAAATAAGATGGCCAATGTTGGTTCATCAAAAGCTTATGAAAATGATGGATTAACAGGGGAGTAATTGAAACTTGTAGATCAAAGGTTGTTGACAATATTATTATTATTATTATTTTGCATGAATGAATTTTCAAATTTAGACTTTATTTTGAATAAAAGAAGTTTAGTTATTAATAGTGAGTTAGGGATTGAATTAGTTAATTACCGAATTCAATTTACGTTTGAGGGGTACGTGGTGATTTTATCACATAATGTAATAATGACATTATACAGTGATCCACCATTACACTCTCGTAAATTGAATTATTAGGTTCTTAAATAATTATTCTTAGGTTGTGTTTGGTTGTATGGCATTAGAGTTTTGGAATTGAAATTGGTGAAATTTGAAAAAATTTTGATTCAATTTTCTTAATTATATTTCTAAAATTTCATAAATTCTAGTTCTAAACTATAATTCAATATAACTGAATATACCCTTAGTTATTTTAAATAAAGATAAATTGGATTTCTTAGGAAAATATAGTACATTATTTTTGAAACATGACAAATATTAGAACAGCTAAGATGAATATTTTATATATATATATATATATATATATATATATATATTATCACAATAGTAAAAGGGAGGCTATATTTACACTCTACTTTTGTACGTTTGCATTCTAATCTTAATGAAATACACCTCTACCCCTAATTTTAAATTTTAATAATTATTTTTTAAAAATACCACAATTACCCATTTTAGTTGTGGTAATATATTTTTGTCTTTCTCTTTTTCGATTATCGTTTTTGGTATCTTATGTGTTTTTTGTTAACCCATTTTTTTTCCTCTTACTTCCTATATCTTTAAACTCTTTTTTTATTTTGTATTAATTTTCTCTCTCTCTCATTAGAGTTTGATATTTGATCTTTGTAAATAACAATGAAAGATTTCACAAATGAAGAAATAACATAATTGAACGAAGTAATTGATCTTGCATAAAAAATATTAAATAACTATTAAAACTTCATGAACCATTAAATTTCTTTGAGATGAAAATGGTAATTTGTTTCGTTTAATTTTATTTTCTTGTGTTATGCTCTGTGACTAGGTTTAGATTTTTTTTCCTAATGTGATTTTTAAGAATTAATTTAGATGGTAATGGGAATGGTAATCTTTAATGGAAGAGGTCAGGTATTGCAATGGTGTAGAACTGAGAATGGAAGGTCTTTCATACATGCAATTGGTGTAGAACTGAGAATCATTTATGGCTTTAGGTCCTGATTTTCAGGAATGAGCTAAGTTACTCTGTTTGGTGACTTTGATCTGAAAACCTTCCTTTATTTGCGGTTGAGATGTGATCCTAAAATCAGTGTTTTAATCTCACTACATCAAAGCACAACATACTACGTCACGAGATACAACACTCATGCAACACATTTGCATTGTATTGCAATGCTACAACATCATACTCCTTGTTGTGTTTATAATATGAAGTAGTGCGTTGATGATGTAAATGCGTGTAACACAGATACAAAGAGGATTCAAGAAATGTCTTAGTTGACGGTAATTGGACTATAACATTAAGGGTCATGATACAAAGTCCAACAATTGGACAATTTCGACTGTTTTTATGTGCACTGATGTGATCATAATGTCAGTTCTTACCCATATAAAATAGTCTGATTATTAGACTACACATCATTTTCCTAACATCAACACGCCTTCTACCATTGCCTGGTCCACGTTCTATTCCTGTAATGTTTAATATCGGAGCAGCATCCGTCAGTAGCAATACAATTATCCCCAAAAGTTGAAAAACAGTTTCAATTTTAAGTATGAATTTATTAATTAGATACGATATAAAAAGTATATAATGGAAGAAAATTAGTTAGAAAGACAATACTATGAAGTACCAGTTGCTATATAATATGCAAGATGTCAATTCCATCAATATTGGGGCTTGTTCCCGGGGCACTTAATGTAGAGGTTGAAGATGATTGCCCCATAACAATGGAGATATGGTTCTAATTATTCTCGTTAAACAGTCTTCCAAAATCCATTTCAAATTTATTTTGTGAGATATGGTATAAACTGTCAAGGAATAAATTGAGTTTTAATCATAAATCTAATTCAAATAGAGTTCATTTACTAGGTTAGCATGATTTTGAAACTAAATCATGAATCTATTTAAGTAACATATTCAATTATAGAAGTAACATTTTAATTTTTAGCACAATCATTCACAGTAAATCAATTTAAACAATTTAATAATTTATAGATATCAATATTAAATTTAAAATATTCTACAATAATTTTCAACTATAAATCACCTCAATATTTTACAACATGAACCAAAAAATATTGTGTCCCCTACTTACCAAAAAATAAAAATAAAAGAATATATACCTCCACATATTTAGCTCAACAATTCACAAATAAAAATAAATTCACATTATCTTTCATTGGATCACCTATATGTGAATAATTATTTCTTTAATTATATATTATTAGATATAAAGTAAAAAGAATTAAAAATACTTATCAAAAAATAAAAAGAATTAAAAATATTGTATTTATTAATAATGAGTATGTACAAAATATATATACATATTCTTAATTAAGAAAAAACCACTCATTATTAGCTTTAAAAAGCGGATAATCCTATATTAACAGTATTAGTTTTAAAAAAGAAGCGATAACCCTTTTCAGCTTAAAACGAACGCAGTTTAATCCTATATTTAAAGTACCTGAGTCGATTAAGCTATAGACAGTGAGAGAATGGAAGCCCAAAGGTGCGATGCCTAGGTATGCAAGGAGAGGGATTCACAAGCCCTCTCTTCCTCAATGGCGATCGCGGCCTCACCCTACTGGTTCTCTCTCCACTCTTCTACCGGCGCATCTTGCTATTATCTCTTCTCCGAACGCCTGTCGTTCCTAAATCCATAGAACGAATCGCAAAGGTAAACCCTAATGACCACTTGTGTGCCGTTTATGTGTTTTATAGCCATTCACTACCAACCCTAACCCTCCTAATCACAACTACAAACGCCACCCTTCAACCCTAACTTTAAACGCCCACCACAGCCACTGGAAATTGGTCGTTAATGTTAGTGTTCCCCTTCTTTTCTCTCCCTATATAGACGCATACACCACACAAATCTGAATAGGAAGATTTTTCTGCTGATTTTTTGAATTTATCTAATACTTTTTTAGAATTTTTAGTGGCCATTTATCATGCTTGTATAGTAAGTTTTTTTCAAACATGTATTTATGTATGTATGTGAATGCATGTACATTTATAAGTCTAATACTTCTGGGTAAATTTTCCATTTTAGGTTGGTGAGATTTTAATCAGATTTGAGAAAAAGGATTTCTCATTGAAATGTATGATTAATTTTTGATTGTTTATATTTTTTACTATTTATTTCCAATGATTGATTTTGAAAATTTTTAAATTTCATGGATTCATTTTTTCTTATTGCTTATTGTTGGAACAGTAGAGGGGTACATTCAATCCTTGTTTGTTTATTAGTTCTCAGTTTTTCTCTTCAGTGCGGAGTTGAGCAATTTGGTAGCTTGCAAGGCCATCACCTTGAGATCACGGGTTCAAATCCTGTCTCCGCTACATTTTCATTTTATTCTCGGTTTTTTATTTATTTATGGTGATTGTAAGAATTTCATGCAACAATGTTGATTCTTAATTTTTTTGATGAACATTGGTTAGCTTGAGGACATTAATACTGTTTGGTTTAAAGTATAATTATTGCTACATCATTTGACCACTCTATCTGGAGGAGGTGTTGGCAGTTTTCTAAGTTTTGTTTGCTGTTTTGATAGCTGGACTCCTGCGTGGAGAAGGTATTGGGATTGTAGGTTTTGTTGTTTGCAATTTTTATGACTGGTGGAAAATATGTACATAATCTCCATTAGCCAGACTGCTAATTTGGTTGGCTTCTAAAAAAATTGGATATTTCATTCTCTGCAGTTATATTTTGCAAAGTGTTGAATGGTCCTTGATAGGTCCTTATGCAGTCTTGTTTCTTTTAGTTTTCCCCAGCTGTTGCTATTCAATGATCTTAACATATTTAATAGTTTGAAAGGAACAGTGGGGTCATTTATTTATTTTTATTTTTTTATACATATTCATCTCACGCGGACTGTGTACTTCCTAGATTTACTTTCTTGTTTTTTTGTTGGACAGTGTAACGTTCTTTGAATGCGTTGTAGTGCTCTTCTTGCTCTTGTTATATTATATAAATGTGAATAAAAAAATAAAAAATATATATATATATACACACACACAATTGATGTTCTATTTAGAAAGCCCTCCTCTTACACATCATTGATGATTTTAGACTATCCTAGAAGAGTGGCTGAAAAAATCATTCTGAATCTTATCTCTTTCCATGTCTAGTTTCCTTGTAGGAGAGACATTGGAGATAGTTTTGGTGGTTTAACGAATTACAAAGTCTGAATGCTTTAGAGTGCCTGCTGTCCAGCTGGATGTGAACCATGAATGCTTTCTTTTTCATTCTTCTCTTTTGATTTCTTGGTTGTAAATAAGCTCTTGACTATAGTTTATAACATTAATACGGTACAAAATTAATGAATTTTCTGCTTTGTAGAGTTCCATATGAAGGCTTCGTTGTGATAGAACTCATGAATGGTTGTGCTTTGAAAGGTTTCTTGCAAAGACTATGCTATGCTCTATTATTTCTTTCTTTCCTTTTTTTCTTCTTTGTCAATTCTCCACTTACAGTGCCATTTCATGAGGTAATTCTGTGTATTTTGGGCTTGATGCATTATCTTTACACTAGCATTTCCAAAGAAGAGGGTTGTAGTAGGTGTAGTAGCTTGACAACCCGCGTTTATCTTCTCTATGACAAACAGTTTTCTCTTCTAACATACTCATGAAATATAAAGGAACATGTTTTTGCATGTTGGAGAGTTGTTGGTGAGGCGAAGAATAATGATTTATTTTCTTGGGAGGTTGAAATCTTGTAAGAAGCTTCTTATCATTTTTTTGTTACTTTTTTTCTTTTTGGAGTTGCTGCCAGATTGCTTCCGTTGTTTGCTTGCATCTAGTTATTTGATTATGTTTTTTCCCCCTCTTTTCCTTTGTGGCATTACTGTGTACTTCAACTTTTGAGGTTGTTTGCAGTTTATTACAGGTTTACATATAGACGCATAAGTAAAGCTCCTGCATGGATGGTTTGTGAACAGTTAGGCAAAACATTTTGAAATTAATTCTGCATGGTTTATCATAGAGAATAGATTTGATACTTCTCTGTATTCCCCCCACCCTAGACACAATGAAGAAACTTTGAATTAGACTGGGGATAGTTATATGGGGCCACTTTCTATTCAATCATCCTAACTCCTAGTATGGGTTGGTATTTTAGTATTGTTGATTGAATTCCATAATTTTAATGTTATACCCAGGCAAAGAATACTTAGCAACATTTGGAATGCAGAATGAGGATCGACAGTCTTTTGTCATCTTTTCTTTCTTTACTTTCACACCCCCTTCTGTGTTTTTTTTTTTTTGGGGATCTATCATCCCTATATTTGTCATTAGCTGTTCTCTTTCTCTGATAGGTCACCCTGGCATATCAGCTGTCAGCTTTGGTAAATTTCGATGTTTGGTATATCAACTCTCCATTTTTGTAAGGTAGGAGGAAGGAAAAATACTAATTAAGAGCTTTTGATTCATGAGTTTTTGCAAAATCCAACCCCCAGTTGATCCAGTGTTGGGTATTATATATATATTTTTCTATTGTATATGGAATTTCGGTATTATAATGTCTGTTAACATTTTTTCTTTCTTCATTTTTTTCAAATTTTGATGGGGATATCATGATTTATATGTTTTAACAAATTACGAAGGCTGAACTTTTTGGAGTGCTTGTTGTTGAGCCGCCAGGCGTGAACCATCAAATATTTATACATGATATATTATATATTTGTATTTTTGCAAGAATGTGGCAATTTACAGAAATCTTTTGTTACCTCATTTGACGTCATCATGTATTTAATGCTGTAGTCATTGACATATTAATGTTGCAGAGTTCTGAAGAGGCATCATCATTGCACTTGGGATTATGAAAAGCTTGTAAGAACTCTGGTGTCCTTTTTTATCCTTGGTGGAGCTGCTTAGCCTTCTGGTGTTTGCTTGCAGCAGTTGTGTGCTAGCTGTTTGTTGAGTTGTTGACACAACCTACTGCATTAACTTCTATTTTTCAATTGAAAACTTCTGCATAGTTGGTAAGAAAGCATTTCCTGTTTGGTCTGAGCTGGACTTTTGGATGATCGACTTCCGTTTCATGTTGTATCATTTATGAAATTAGGCCATTTCAGCAGCTGAGTTGTTTTGTGTGAGTGTGCATATATATATTTGTCCTTTTGTTCTTGATAGAATTTAGGCAATTTACATGCATCTTGGTTGACTAGTTGTTGCCATTTGCCTAATTTATTTATGCAGCAATCATTTATATATACATGTTGAAGTTTTGGTGTTTAATTGCTTGTGGTTTCATTTCCAGGATTTCAGTGGTTGCTTAGTTTTTTATGGGATCTGAAGAGTCACTATACCTGCACTTGGAAATATTAAGGCTTGTCAGTCATATTGTCCATTTTGTGGGTGGTGGAGCTTCTGCTCGCTCTTTGCTTCCTGGTGTTTGCTGGCAGCAGTTCTCTGTTTGCTGGTAATGCTTTCCTTTTCTGGAGCATGCTCCCTAGTCCGTACTTTTTGGGTGATGTGTATTCTACAGTTTCTACTTTCAGACTGTAAACAGTTGCCAACTAATTTTACCCAACTGCTTGTACAGTTAGCAACAAAACAGAACTAGTTCATTGAATATTTCTTTGTGTACTAACTTTTTTATTGCATTTTTTCTTTTCTGCTCTTCATTCTAGATGCAATGGAGCAGACTATCGCTAAAATAAGTGGGACTTAAAATACCTCAAGTTTTGCTGTTGCCATGTGTCATTTACATACATACACATACACATACATATATATATACAGTAGATCTCCTTTTGTCATATTTGTGCGTGTCTTTATAATGATTGTCTTATTATATTTGGTGCTGGAGGCATCATCTTTTTGGTGCATGCGTATTGATATTCTATTTTAAGATGATCCTTCGTCATTGTTGGGGTGGGGCCCTGGGGCTGGTCTTACAATTTTGTATTTTGATCACGGAATAACCATGGAATACAAAAAGCACCATCTTCTTGGGTAATCGTCTGCATCTTGTCTAAGTTTCTTAATTGGTTCTTTTGCTAAAAGTGGTTTTGAGTTCTTCCTTTTCAACCTTGGCGATTTGAACTGAACGTTTAATTAACTTACCCTGTTTTTGATGTAGCATTGTTTATGCACAACATGTTCTTTGGGCCATTATGGGTGACCTTCACAGTTAGTATTGAGGTGAAAATATAACGCTGAACAAAATTTCTAGAACCCTCGATGCAACTTAGATGAAGTGTGATACTTGTCTCTTTTAGTACTGAGTCACGGTGAGCACCTGTAAGTTTATCCTTGCTTATGATTGGGGCTTGTTTTGCTTCTTATTCTTTGCTGTTTGTAATATGACTAGGAGTGGATATAAGAAAGAAATTTATAGAGTTCGTGCTGGCCATATCTGTGTGTTCTTTGTGCAGTTAATAACTTAATAATGATACTACTGTATTTGTCTGTGAAGATTGTAGACTTTCACCAATTCAAGAGGAAAAATAAAAAAAAAAAAACACTTTCCTGCTCTTCTCTTTCCTCTTTTCTTTTCAGTCTTCACTTGTTCTCTTCCTTAACGTAACTCTGCCTGTGTAGTGCTTAGTGTCATATCTTTATATATTCGGTTCCTTCCAAGTAGAATGTTATTCCAGGTACAGTTGCTTGATGACAAGCGTAGAACTTGTCTATATGATTTTTCACAATTTTCTTTCCTGACATGCTCGTGCAATAGCTGGGAACATGTCTGTGCGTGTTGGGGTGTTGGTGGTGACGTGAAGAGGCAGTGTTGTTTACTTGGAGGATATAATATTGTGAGAAGCTTCTGATCCCTTTTTTTTTGTTTCTTTTTTCTTCGTGAAGTTGCTGCCATTCTCGTTTGACCTTTCTTTTTTTTCCCCCCTTTTTCTATCCATTTCTATTTTTTCCATTGTTTAGTTGCACCAGGTCTCTCCTTTTTGGAGTTTGCTGTCTGCATTTACTTTTAAGATTGGCTGCAGTCTATTTCATGCCGATGGGATGGGCAGAGCTTATGCTCCTGCACAAATGGTCTATATGAACAATAATGAATTGTTTCTATTATTTTAGTCTTTTGGTTTTTTGATCTCTCATCCCTGTATTTGTCTCTAGCTCTTCTCCTTCTCTCTTAGGGCACCTGGCATAACAGCTGTCAGCATTGGTCAATATCGATGTTTGGCATATCAACGTTCCATTTTTGCAAGGTACAAGGATAAGAAAAATGCCGATTTAAGTGTTTTTGAATCATAAGCTTTTGCAAGATAGGAGGATAAGATAAATACCTACTACGAGTTTTTGATTCATGAGTCTTTATCGTAATAGATACTTGTAACTCACTAGAGGCCCGGGAAACAAAAGGAAGACTCGTACGAATGTGATATCCTGCAACAAAAAGAAGTAATATGATTGAATAGATGTGTACGAACCACCTTGGAGACAGTTTCGGATTAACAGATGGAGCAGGGGATTTCTTCCGCCCCCAATTGATCCAGCGTTGGGTATTCTGTTTCTTTTCTATTGTCTATGAAATTTCGGTGTTCTGATGTCTGTTAAACATTTTTTTTTTGGTAGGGATATCATGATTTCTATGTTTTAACAAATTACAAAGGCTGAACTCTCTGGAGTGCCTGTTGTCGAGCCGGGCATGAACCATCATATATTTATATACTCCCTCCGCTCCAGATTAATTGTCCATCTGTATTAGAAGTTTTTAAGGGGACATGCAATTAATTCATTTTACCCTTTTAAATTTACCAATTTCTGCTTTTAAGTTTAAATATGTATAATAACAAGTTGGAAGATTATCAAAAACTTGGAGGGTAATGATGGAAATATAACATATTAGTAGTAAATGGACTACTGATATGTGACAGGGAGTATGATATATTATGTATTCGCCCATTTGCAAGAATGTGGCAATTTACAGAAATCTTTTGTTGCCTCAGTTGACTTCATTCTGTATTTAATGCTGTAGTCATTGACATACTAATGTTGTAGAGTTCTGAAGGGGCGTCATCATTGCACTTGGGATTATGTAAAGCTTGTGAGAACTCTGCTGTCGTTTTTAATCGTTGGTGGAGCTGCTTAGCCTTCTGGTGTTTGCTTGCAGCAGATGTGTGCTAGCTGTTTGTCAGTTGTTGACCCAACTATGCAGATACTGCAGTAGGTAAGAAGCATTTCCTGTTTGGTCTGATATGATCGACTTCCATTTCATGTTGTATCATTTATGAAATTAGGCCATTTCAGCTGTTGAGTTGTTTTGTGTGTGTATGCATATATATTGTCATTTTGTTCGTGATAGAATTTGGGCAATTTACATGCATCTCGGTTGACTAGTTGTTGCCATTTGCCTAATGTATTTATTCAGCAATCATTTTCGTATACATGTTGAAGAGTTGGCTCATGGTTTCATTTCCAGGATTTCAGTGGAAGCTTTGTTTTTTATGGGATCTGAAGAGGCACTATACCTGCACTTATTTGGATGTTAGAGTTCAGATATGAACATATGGAGCAGGGGATTTCTTCTTCCCCCCAATTGATCCGGCATTGGGTATTGTATTTCTTTTCTATTGTATATGTAATTTTGGTGTTCTGATGTCTGTAAACGTTTTTTTTTTTGGTAGGGATATCATGATTTCTATGTCGTAACAAATTACAAAGGCTGAACTCCTTGGGGTGCCTGTTGTCAAGCCAGGTTTTAACCATCATATATATATGTACTCCCTCCGTCCCATATTATTAGTCCATCTTTGGTATTAGAAGTTTTTAAGGGGGGCATGCAATTAATGCATTTTCCCCTTTTAAAATTACCAACTTCTCCTTTTAATTTTAAATATGAATAATAACAAGTTGGAAGATTATTGAAAACTTGGAGGGTAAAGATGGAAATATAGCATTTAATTTACTTTGACTTTTCAAATGGGACAACCAATTTGAGACATCCCAAAAAGGGAAAATGGACTACTAATATGGGACAAGGGGAGTATGATATTTTATGTATTTGTCCCTTTTCAAGAATGTGACAATTTACAGAAATATTTTGTTGCCTCAGTTGACGTCATTATGTTCTTAATGCTGTAGTCATTGACATATTATTGTTGTAGAGTTCTGAAGAGGCATCATCATTGCACTTGGGATTATGAAAGCTTGTGAGAACTCTGCTGTCCTTTTTTATCCTTGGTGGAGCTGCTTAGCCTTCTGGTGTTTGCTTGCAGCAGTTGTGTGTTAGCTGTTTGTTGAGTTGTTGACTCAACCTACTGCAGTAATTCTATTTTTCAACTGCAAACTTCTGCATTGTTGGTAAGAAAGCATTTCCTATTTGGTCTGAGCTGGACTCTTGGATGATCGACTTCCATATTGTGTTGTATCATTTATGAAATTGCGCCATTTCAGCTTCTGAGTTGTTCTGTGTGCAGATACATACATACATACATACACATATATATATATATATATATATATTTGTCTTTTTGTTCTTGATATAATTTGGGCAATTTACATGCATCTTGGTTGACTAGTTGTTGCCATTTTCCTAACGTATTTATGCAACAATCATTTACGTATACGTGTTGAAGAGTTGGTGTTTAATTACTTGTGGTTTCATTTCCTGGATTTCACATTGGTTGCTTGGTTTTTTATGGGATTTGAAGAGGAACCATACCTGCACTTGTCACTATATTGTCCATTTTGTGGGTGGTGGAGAAACTTCTGCTTTCTCTTTGCTTCCTGGTGTTTGCTGGCAGCAGTTATCTATTTGCTGTTAATGTTTTTCTTTTCTGGAGCATGCTCTCTACTTTTTTGGTAGTATGCATTCGGCAGTTTCTACTTTCAGACTGTAAGCAGTTACAAACTAATTTTGCCCAACTACTTGTACATAGTTAGCAACAAAACAGAAATAGTTCATTGATTATTTTGAGTCCAAAATCTTAAATTCAAGTCCCTTTTTTGGTTTTTCTCCGTTCAATCACTTCATCAGTTTTGGATTTTAGTTTGAGGTTCTTTTGGCACAACTAATTTTATGAACCCTTTCCTTTTTACTTGTAGTTGTTCGGATGTGATAGGAACCCTTTAGTCAAGTTTCATTTTCTTTGTTAAAACAGGAGCTTTCATCTATAATTTTATTTGTGCATTTTGAAATTTAGCTGTGTGTCAATGGATTGTATATCTTGTATTCAGAACTATTTGAATTGCAAGGTTGATTACTTTGATTGGATATAGCTTGCCCTCGTGTTTCAATTAATAAATGTAACTTCAAAGACAAAGATGGCTTGCAATTCGGGAAAATGTATATATCTTTCGTGGGAGAGCTCTTTGAGGTGGCACCTTCTTCTTAAAGCTCAACCTTTATATTTTATTTATAAAAAATTCTCCTTGATATAGGTCAATTGTCCCATTTGCATTGACCTTTTTTTTTTTTGGTGAGTTCACAATCTATACTTATTGTCTGGTCAAAGAGAGCTGGAAAATACGAGTTTAGTGTTACAACTGCAAATTTCTTGGTGAGAAATAGTATTCTGTGATTGAGATAAAATGAAAGGCGAGAGGTAATCTATAAGAGTAGTGATATGACAGTCTCAAAATTTTTAAATCTACAATAATCATTCATGTTTCAATACTAAGTTTGTTACAGAATCGATCTTAATTGAATTTTATATTGACCTTCAGTTTCCTCCTTTTGCATTTAGGTGGAGACTTTGAAATGTGTGTGCTCTCTCTTGCAACCTTGGGAAGAATTTGGAGAAATGAAGGTGTTACAGATGATAACAGGTTTCTTATATCAATTTTTTATTTGTCCATTTGTGCTCTTCTCCATTGAGTTCGCAGGATACAGTGAAATAAGATGCTTTGACTAAAAAATTTGATCTAACATTTAGGATGACATGGTTTTATATATTTGCAAACCTATGATGGACTAATTAGATTGTGGTCTAAATTTTAGACAATTATATGCTGGAACAAAGTTTCACCATCGAGTATATTGTCTGCTTCTTTGTCATGCAGGTTTCAAGGGACATCACATCACACGGTTAACACTGCATTTCACATTTATGCAAACACAAAACAATTTAGGCTTAAAATCCTATTGGTTAGAATACATCATGGAAAAAATTCTATCATCCTGTGATTCCAACAATAGTATACTAAAACTTTTTTTCTTCCCTGCCTTGCGCTCCATATTCTTTATGAACTTGGAAATAAGCTAAGAAGCACGGACACGGATACGGGACACGGATACGACACGACACGGACACGGCGACACGGCAAATCCAAAAAAATTAGGACACGGACACGGCGAATAGTATATATATATATATATATATATATATATATCAGCATTAATAATTTTAAAAAAAAACACTGATATGTTTAGGTTGGAATATATATATATATATATCACTGATATGTTAGTATATATATATATCAGCATCTTTAGGGTAGTACAAAACAAAAAATAGAACATATCAGCATTAAAAAATTTAAAAAAAAAAAAAAAAAAATTAACATATCAGCATTAAAAATTAAAAAAAAAAAAAAAAATTCCAGAAAAGTGTGTCCGAGCCGTGTCTGAGCCGTGTCCGAGCTGTTTGAGCCGTGTCCGAGCCGTGTCCGAAAATTAAAAAAAATAAAAAAATTCCAGACACGTTTTTTGGCATGTCCGACACGTGTCAGGGCGTGTCCGACGCTTGTCCGTGTCCGACACGTGTCGGACACGGATTCTTCGCCCATTTTGGAGTGTCCGTGCTTCCTAGGAAATAAGCCATCAAATGAATGGTGTTACTGTTTTGAGTTGCATTATCACTGTTCTAGGAGTTCAGAATAGTGGGATTGTTCTTTTGTTGTTCCATCCTTGTATATCTGAATTACATTGCAATTTTAAACTCTGATCCAGGTTCACTATTTTATTAATTGTGGAACTGTTCATAAATTTAGATCTTTTTTTTTTTTTTTTTTTTTCCTCTCATGTGTAACTATTATGTAGGTTGAGTACAATGTTTACTCATTCCTGCTGCTTTTTACCTCGTAAAAAACTTGGTTAAATTTGGGCTCTTCTTTGCTTTTTTCTTTTTTCAGGAATTAATTACTTTGCCCCTCTTGTATTCTGAAACATGACTTTATGTGGAAGTATTACATCTTTGCATATGTGGATGCTCCTGGGTACCAGATACTGAAGAACCTGACTTTATGGGGAAGTATTACATCTTTGCATATGTGTTTTATACTGAATTATCCTTAAGAAGAAGTCCTTCCACCATTTACGTTAGATATATATATTTTTTATGCTTATGAAAAAATATGTTTGATATGTTCCTGAGACAGTTCCTCTATGCATTGTTTGTTTATGAGGAAAAGTTAAGAACCTTTCAACAAATGACTTCTTGTAGCAAAGGAATGTGATATTACATGGCTGTCCCATTTGTTCTCCTTCCGTACAAATAGAAACAATTTTTTTTTTTTTTTTGGATAAGTATAGTTTTGTTGTTCTTTCCATCAATGTTTGACATTTATAATTGCATCTGTGGATCTTGATCATAATCCATGAATAAACCACGTAGTAGCTGTGTTATTTTCATGCTATTTTTCCAAATGGATGGTGAAGTCAACTACTATATAATCTGGAAGAGCAATTATTCAAAATTTTACACATGTAGCATGAAGTAACTCCTAACCGAGCAGGATGTAGCAAGATTTTAGATGTTTGCTCTGATTATAATTTTATTTTTTTCAGGTTAAGTGAGATTCAGTGGGCTGCTTTCGTTCTATTGTGTACAGGGTGCACCACAGCACAACCTAATTGTTCATAAGAGTGATAGTCAACAACTTCTATCGCATTCTTGTGCAAGCTTCATTTGTTAATCTAAGCTGCATTGCTTTCACAATAACTTGGAAATTTGAACTATTCATCAATTTTTCTAGTCATGATACTCTGTATAAGAAGAGAGGAACATTGTCCCTCACTTTCCGACTTTGATTGTTTTCTTTCATTTAGAATTTTATATATATATATATATATATATATATATATATACATATTTAAGTACATATAAATATTACAGAATGACATTGGTTGTTCAATTCTGATCATGTTCTTCAAACTTCTTTTCAAGGTTGGGTGATGGCCATTGTGAGCTTTACTTATTTTGAGGCTTGATCTGTTAAGTTGAACTGAGAATTGATCTTATAAGATACTGCTTCTTACTGTAATAATCAGTAATTCCTTTGCAGGTCATGGCAATTCGGAGTGGCTTTCCCGGAGTGTACATACAGGTAAATTCTTAAGCATGTATTCTGCTCTAACAACTTAAAGTATCAATTGCTTACATGAGTTCTACATCACGTATTATATACATTGTTAGGCCCATTCTCTTACAGCTTAAGCTTCTGGAGCAATTGGTGATCTAACATGGTATCAGAGCCTTGATTCTGGGATGTTTTGAGTTCCAAGTCTCCATCTCTGCAATTGTTCTCGGTTTGGTGCAAAGTTTGCACTTGTTATGATATTAGATTTGGTTTGTTTGCCTCATCACGTGCAAGATGGGTTGGTCGAGCTTGATATACATTGTTGGGTTCATTCTCTAACAGCTTAACCTTCTAGAACAATCGGTGATCTAACAATCAGGATTTGGTTTATTTTAGTCATACATAATTCTGTTAGAACTCCCCATAGACGATTTTGGTTGACGCAATATAGACAGTAGACAATCTCAACCGAGTTGTCTAGATATTTAGTTCTGTTTACAAGTTTGTTAATGCATTCTGCAGGCTATAATTAAAAAGCATCCTTCAAGGAACATAAATGTGCAAAACTTCTAGTTGGATTTTTTTGGAATAGCCTTTCAATGCAATTGCAATAGTAATTCACGATTTTAATGATGTTATGAATAAGTAATTTGAAATTATTCTTTGCTTCTAATTTTCTCATGTTTGTCTATGGTGAAATTTGATTTACAGATGATTGAACTTGTCTTCAACATTCATAAAAAATGGATGATGTTAAAAGTTGACCGTAGTTGCATTTGCATCATATGATTCAATATGGGTGATGATTGGATATTGATGGAAATGTACGTATTTTATCTATGTCTGGCTACATATTTTTTCTATGTGGAAGGCGCTCCTCTGAAATCAATTAAATTAGCTCCCCACTGCTTTGTATATATATATATATATATATATATATATATATATTTTGTAGTTTCCCAGCTTTTAACTTTTAGAGATGATAAGAAGAGAAACTGATTTGTCAATTCCTATTACAAAAACAGGATAAGAGTTTTAAATTTTTTTCCTTTGTTTGCAGATTCAATATGTTTATTGAAATGGAAAGCTTTATCTGTCATTGGCTTTTTATCTTAAAAAATCTTGCTCTCCTCTAGAGTTGTTTGGATGATTTCATCATCCTGTATCTTTTACTTGCTGTCTTTTCTTTTACAGGGGCCAAGGATCCTCATTAAGTACAGTCCAAATGACTCTAAACCATGTGCTTAGGTAATTTATTTATCTTGAATTTATATAGTTCAGCAGCTTATTTGCTTGCAACTTCCTCATTTCCTGTTTTGCAAGATATTTCACTTATAACAATGTGAAATCTTGTAGAGTTATGTTGGTTTGTTTGATCGTGCTTCAAACTGTGTCATCCTAGCCATACTTCTTTCAAAAGGTGTACAAAGTATCTGAAGTGTTTCACGACATGTTTGTCAGTTGCATCATGTGCAAGGTATCATTGTCCTTGATGATGTTCAACAAACTTTTTTCACGGCTGTGTCAACAAACTTTTTTCACCATTGATGTATGATGTTCTAGTTAATCTCAAGTAATAATTTCACTTCTAAATTATTATCATTTTTTAGTTTGCGGTAATAGATGAGAGTCAAATTGGTTGCCATGTAGATTAATGGTTTTACATCTTCAAGGAAGGTTAGTGTCGGAGTCGATTGGAATGTGACTAAAGTGAATAACCTTTTCCCCCCAAACACGTCCGAATTAGTTTGTATTACAAAGCAATGCCTTTTAATAAATTGGTAGGTATATGATGAATCAAGTGTTATAAATATATATATATATATATCGATGTTTTCCTTCACATATCAATGGTAAATCTAGCAATGTAACTTTTTATTTGCTCATAGATGTTACATTGCTAGATTTACCATCGATATGTGAGGGAAAACATCTAAATCATGCTTGGGCATATTTCAGCAACAAATTTTTTTCTACTGAATCAAAAAGAAGAGCCAAGATGTTTTGGCAGGGATGTATATACAATTTATTACTTCATCTTATGTCATCAAATGATATCTTGATATCAAATGTGGACATTGTTTTATTAATTAATCAAAGGAGGAACCCGAGGAGATTTAAAAATAAAAAAAAATGAAAGTATTTTATAATAAATGGTATTATTTTATGTAGACCACACTATCTGCAAGATTTTTTATTTTGAAAACTAGCTACTTTTTCTCAACATTTTTGTACAAACAAAAATAGAAATAAATAAATAAATAAGAAAATCAGTGACAAGGACATTGGCATTGCTATGCTATCTGGTACTGTTCAATGCAGCAAAAAATTGAAAATCATAAAGTTGGTGTTGTTTCTTAGAGATGGTGTTCAATCTGTGTCAGCATTGATGCGCTAATATAGCATAAATTGTTACATTGGGATTCTTCATGCTTCAAGGATGCTTATGCAATATAGAAAATGAAAAGGAAAAAGAAGAAAGGATAAACTAACAAAGCAAAAGTCCCATTGGGCACTCATTACACACTTCATAAAAGGTATTAAAATTCTTATTCAGCTGGGCAACAATTTGCAGGTGCATTCTACTTCTGAGGCAATGTTGCTGACTGCAGTCGTTTCTGTGTTCCGATTTGGGTTTCATCTCTCGCTTGCTTTCTTCTTTGACTCCATGTAAGTACCTTCAGATTTATTTTCAGGTCCTCTTTTTTTGCTGTTCAATAGAATTTGGGCAAATCAGGCCTTCCTGCCTGTTTGAATAGCATTGCAATTTTGCAGTCGTGGACTGTGTAGGGTAATATCTAACAGTGCTCGAATTACAAGTTAGATGTTTGTGATGAAATTTATACATCAGTTTGCCCACAATTCTGCCCATGAATCGTGTTTGACATGCCTTTTTCATTGTGTAAAGGCATCCAGAAAAATGGTTATTTCCAATTAAGGTCATTACTCAATACTGAAAAGAGTTGGCATAGGTATGTTTACATTTACTTCTTTCACTGATTTGGTTTTTGCATGTGTACAACACTGTCTCTGTCTCAATATTTTTACACTCAGTTGGAAAGTTGCAAGGATAGTGATGACATTTCCATTCATTAGTTAGTTTCTTTAACTTTTTTCTATAGTATATCTGCCACAAATGGGTTATCTTTTTCTAGTGAGCAAAAGTTCAATATGATTAACATGTAAATTAATTGATATGATTGGTCTTTATTCATAAAACCTTGTTCAGTTGATTTACTAGATTTGAGATTTCTGATCTCATTTTGCTGGTTTAACTGATTGAACTGTGGATGTTCCTTTCATAAAAAGCATCCCCTTCGCTGCATCAAAAATTAAAGTTTGTCTTCCAGCCTCTCCGGAAATTATCCAATCGTTCACTAACATTTCGTTTTAGGTGGATCCTACTTTCTTGTCATTGGTGTGTTGTGCTTTAGAATTATTAATGATATACGATGATTTCCCCGGAATTCTTCTTACTGACTGGAAATTGCTAGCTGAACTCGGAATGATATATGATGATTTCCTCGGAATTCTTCTTATCTTCAATGCAGTATTCAAATAGAGCACTAAATCATAAGATGAAGAATAATCCATCAGTGGCCCCCAATTAGGTCTCCTCATAATATTTGCAATGTCGGGTGAGATACTCAGAGGTCTTAAAAGCATGTGGTAGATGCCCATAATGCTTAAAAGTCTGCTTGCTTGAAGGTTTATGGTAGGAAACTTCTCATGAACTGACAAATTAAAAAAACAAAAAATCATGTGGGAGTTCCCTTAACTAAATATATGGGCATCTACTCTGGTCTTGTCATTTCAGTTCTTCATGCTTTAAGGGTGCTTATGCAGTACAGGAAATTAAACAGAAAAAGTCCCATTGTGCACTCATTACACATTTTTTTTTTTCTGGCTGTACAATGATTTGCTGGTGTATTCAACTTTTGTGGCAATGCTGCTTACCGCTGTAGTTTCTGTGCTCCTATTTGGGCTTCATCTCTCGCTTGCTTTCTTCCTTGACTCCACGTAAGTACCTCCGGATTTATGTTCAGGTCCTCTTTTTAGCTATTCAATAGATTTTGGGCAAATCAGGCCTTCCTGCCTGTTTGAATAGCATTGCAATTTGCAGTGGTGTACTGAGTAGGCTAATATCTAACAGCGCTAGAATTAAAAATTAGATATTTATGAATACAATTATACACCAGTTTGCCCTTAAATCTGGCAACGAATCATGTTTGACACACCTTTTTCATTGTGGACAAGTGTGTCATGGTGCGAAAGCCATCCAAGCATGGTAGCAAAGGCATCCAGAAAAATGGTTATTACAGTTGGTCCAAAAATAAATGCATCCATTTAGGCATGGCAATTTTCAATGTCATTTCGGATGTGATTTCTACTTCTTTCATTGATTTGGTTTTTTCGATTTGCATGTTTACAGCATTGTCTCTGTCTCAATATATTTACACTCTATTGGAAAGCTGCAAAGATAGTGATGACATTTCCCTTTTTAGACTATCGAAGCATCTGTGTAAATGCAATATAGGCTAATATTCTGTAATTTTTTTTGTTTTTGTTTTGTTTTGTTTCTTCAGTTGATTATTTTGAAATTATTAATTCACTAGTTTCTGTAACTTTTCTCTGCTGTAGATCAGCCACAAATGGGTTATCTTTTTCTAGTGCGCAAAAGTTCAATATGATTAAACATGTTACATTAATTGATATGATTGGTCTTTACATATAAAACCTTGTTCAGTTGATTTACTAGATCTAAGCTTTCTGGTCTCATTTTGCTGATTTGACTACCTTAACTCTGTGGATGGTTTTCTCTCGTAAAAGCATCCCCTTCGCTGCATCAAGAATTAAAATTTGTCTTCAAGCCTTTCTGGAAATTATCCAGTCGTTTCACAACATTTCATTTGAGGTGGATCCTACTTTCTTGGCATTTTTGTTCTGTGCTTCAGAATTCTTAATGATATATGATGACTTCCTCGGAATTATTCTTACTGACTACAGATTGCTAGCTGAAATTTCGTAATTCTGGGTGATTCAGCTTCAGAATTCTTAATGATATATGTATGAATTTCCTCGGAACTATGCTTACCGACTAGAAATTGCTAGCTGAATCCGCCGGGAGTTTCGGGTTTAATTCTCGCAATTCTGGGCGATTCAAAATGAATTTGTTTCAGTAATATAGTTGGCCAGCTTCAATGTCTGATGAGATGCTCAAAAGTCTTATTTTTATCACTCACATGGTATATAGAATGCTCAAATGTCTGATTGCTAGAAGGTCCGTGCTAGGAAATTTCTCATGAACTGCCAAATCAAAAAAAATAAAAAATCATGTGGGAGTTCACTCAACAATATATGCCAGAATAATTTTATGGTTATCTATCTAATCAGGTCATCTGGCCTCTTTTTTTCATTCTAGCCTTCGAATTCTTTAGAATGTATGCCATTTATGCCCTGTTAAGGCCGTGTGTCCGATTCATATGATTTCATTCTTAACCTTGAAGTTTTTAATGAAGACTTGAACTCTCGACCTTCTACTTTCAAGAGCGAGGAAGAACCAGTAGACTACATCCTGGATGGTTTCTTAACCTTGAAGATGACCATATACGAAATGAGAAAGGAAATAGTAATAACATTTGTTCCAATGAATGGTAGTGTTATTGGTGCACCAAACATTTTAGGAGAGACAGTCAAATCTGGTGACCTCATGCTGATTAGGCTGCATTTTGATCAGTAATGCATTTTACAGATTTTTCTCTCTCATCTAATACTTTTACCAAACACCTAGGTTAATTCCTCTCCAATAAACAAATGAGCATGCTTGGAGCAAAAGCCTGTTTAAAACAACCCTTGAAGACTCAGTATGCTAGAAACCACTTTACTTGAAAGCAACCTATGAAACCAAAACTATATATAAACTTCCTCATCCCTTCTTCGTATCCACCCATCTTCTTCTCTTCTTACCTTTGTCACAACCAAATTCCACAGCAGAAATATGGCGGTCTCCACTTTTTCCAAGATTTCCATTCTTACCTTCTCTCTGTCTCTCTTCATTTGCTCTGCTCTGGCTCATGATTTTTCAATTGTGGGTTATTCTCCGGACGACTTGACTTCGAGAGATGGACTCCAATATCTCTTTGAGTCATGGATATCAAAGCATGGTAAAATCTATGAGAGCATTGAAGAGAAGCTTCATAGGTTTGAGATCTTTGTAGATAACTTGAAGCATATTGATGAGAGGAATAAAAATGTCAGTAGCTACTGGCTTGGGTTGAATGAGTTTGCAGACTTGAGCCATGAAGAGTTCAAAAGCATGTATTTAGGATTAAAACCTGTGTTTCCAAGGGAAGAGTCTTCTGGGAGGTTTAGTTACAGAGATGCGCCGTTGCCCAAGTCCGTGGATTGGAGAAAGAAAGGAGCTGTTACAAACGTCAAGAACCAAGGTTCATGTGGTAAGCACTACTCTCTCTCTCTCTCTCTCTCTCTCACACACACACACACACACACAATTTGCATCTTCTTGGGTGATGATACACTAAAATGATGTGATGGTATGGACGAATGCAGGCAGTTGTTGGGCATTTTCAACAGTGGCGGCTGTTGAAGGCATAAACCAGATTGTCACCGGAAATCTAACTTCCTTGTCCGAGCAACAGCTGATTGATTGTGACACAGCTTTCAACAGTGGTTGCAATGGAGGTTTAATGGATTATGCATTTGCCTTCATAGTCTCTAATGGTGGACTCCATAAGGAGGATGACTACCCATATATCATGGAAGAAGGCACTTGCGAGGAACAAAAGGTATACCACATCTTCATGCGTAAAATATTTGTATTTGGCAGTACCATACAAAGATCAAAAAGAATTTCAAGTCCTAGCCAGAATATAACAGAACAAGTTTTAAAGCCCAAATTATGAAAATTAAGTTTTTTTTTTTATTTGTTTGCTGCCTATAGGAAGATGTGGAGATGGTGACCATTAGTGGTTACGAAGACGTGCCACGGAATGACGAAAAGAGTCTCCTGAAGGCTCTAGCACACCAGCCTATCAGTGTCGCCATCGAAGCTTCTGGAAGAGACTTCCAATTTTACAGTGGGGTAAGTTGTTTTCCGAACAGCGAGTTGTTTTTCATTTCAAGCCCGTGACTTTCAGGTTGTATTGCAGACTTGCAGTATGCATCCATATATATGGAGGACTGTACATATAACAACACTGTTGTGGTTTTACAGGGAGTATTTAACGGGCATTGTGGAACAGAATTGGATCATGGAGTTACAGCCGTTGGATATGGATCATCAAAGGACGTGGATTACATCATTGTGAAGAACTCCTGGGGTCCGAGATGGGGAGAAAAAGGATACATAAGGATGAAGAGAAACACAGGAAAACCTCAGGGAATATGTGGTATCAACAAAATGGCTTCTTATCCTACCAAAAAGAACTGATTTATGGATCTCCGTTTCTCTATCAGATGTCATGCTTCATTCTTTTAGTTGTGTCAAGCATACTGGTGTAACATTATCCTCAATTAATAAGGGTACAAGAATAATCAACAAATCTTGTAGTAGCTTTTTCATTTTGTAATGTTGACAACTACTGCATTTATTCGCACACAGAGACAACGCATGTATCGAGAGACAATGGAATTAAATAAAACATAACAAAAACTGAAATTATGCATTCGAATTTGCTTGCAACAGCCCAAAGTCAAACTCAAGCTCGACCTTCCACTGCTAGACAAATCTGTCTAGACTAAGACTCGATTGGTTGATCTTCAATCCTATAACTGGGAGACATTGTGACTCCTCTCTTTCCAACACAATGGAAGCACACTAGGTTTCTCGCATGCAGATCAATGAAATTATTACGCAAAGAAGAGTATAAGAATCCATAGAGTTGCATTCCATTCAATCAAGGACCCTTCAGTTTTTGCTATGATATTGCAATGAAAAGAATAATAGCTAATACTAATTTTTTCCATCGAACAATGCTCGTCCTTCTGTGTGAAATTGGATTGCAAGCATGGGCATCATCAGTTCATATTTTAAGGCATTGTACGCCTTTATGTACATAACCAATGCACTTAATGTGAATGAAGATTTAATCAGAAAGTAGCCACCGCATGGTTCAGAAGGACCAGTATTCAAAACCATGTTCACTTTGCTAAATCCATATCAATAGAACCTCATTTCTTTGCCTTTGCAAACCTGAGGCATCGGTACTTTTCGCCACTTACAGTGATTTCAAGCGCTCCATCTTGGTTATCTTGATTGGATGCAGTTCCCATTAACACACTTTTTTCTTTCTCAAGATTCTCTCTTTCCATCTTCAGCCTTGCTTCTTGCCGGGCAATCTCTGCCTGAAAGATGGGTGCAAGGGAATAAAATTGTAAATAATAAATATAGATCACACTTTACCTCCAGCAAGGCAGGAACAAAATAAAATTCAGTTAACAGATGGAAAATTTTGGTAAGCTACAACATTAAATTGCACAGGAAGCTGTTCATTGGTATCCATGTTAGCCACATCCAAGCTTAAAGATACAATTGTACAGCCAAACCCCAGTTGAGTCGGTCCATCCCCAGCGCAAAACCATTGCATTCTCTATGGGCAGGAATATGCAACTCAGGTATGAAAACTCAAACACACACTCCCTTAAATCTGTTTGAATATAATATTTTTTTTACGACATGGAACTTCCAACTTCATTTCAAGTTTTTTGGGATCATCTCAAGTTTCCCCAATTTAGCACACATTCTATTTAATGCTCACAGAGTTTCAGAATGCGCTCATAAGAAAGCACTAAATTCCCTACAAGCTTCTTTCTCAGAGAATGTGCAAGAATATGAGGAGGAAGAGATGGGCCTCGAACAAAGCTTTATGATTACTTAATGCTTTAAAAAGGGAGGAGGGGGAAAGCAGCAGAGAGGAAGAAGGCACTTTCTAAGGCCTCGTAATTGTGGATCTCAAGATCCAGAAGGAAGGCCACACCTGCCATGATTGATACTGTGGCCACCAGTAACTTTATGTTGGGGATCAAATCAACAAGATTGCACTTGAAGTTATAGAGACCAAGGCTACATAGAAGTGTTGAGCTTGAAAGTTCAACCAATAATGGAATAACGAAGTCCGTACCTGTTAAAGTAAGAATTCGGCAAGGACATGCCAACTTCATTGTCGTTCCCATGGATTATTTCCAAGTAATTTTAAAGATGTTGTTCTTACGGGAGACTGAAGGCCATCCCAGTGCCTTTTGCTCTCTCTCTGTATATTCAATTGGTGAAAACCCATGCATTATCCTATCCTACTTCATAGAGGATAGAAATTTCTTGCAACTAAATGAATTGTGAGAGTCAGGCCTTATTAGGTCATTAAGAGCACCTTTAGGGAGCCCCATCGCTATTGCAAAAGAAGCAAGATGAATGATGAAGACTGTATGAAGATTACAGCTTTCCCAATAAGGTAATGCAGCAGAGCAAGTACCCCATTCAGCTCACAGTGGGCCTTTCTGAATAACGAAGTCATACCAAATACATACAAAACTTAAAGTCGGGCCTGTATCTAATCCTCATAGCATAGGGTATGAAACAAATACAACGTGCAGCTAGCTATGGGTCCAAGTTTCTCGCCCAGGAACCTTTTGCACTCTAATGAACCGAGTCTTCCACAACTACCCATATAAGTTTCATGATAGTATACCTCAATGATGTGGTGGTGCATAGCTCAAGTCCAGAATAGACCCTTAAGCACTTGAAACTTGTATTCCAGAAGCTAAGAGAAAATCATCATTTTGTGAAGGAACAAAAATGCTCTTCACAAGACCACATTATATTCCTGAGACATACTGTTAAGTCGGGACATGAACGGTGGGTACGAATTCGTGCACCAAATGTGGGCCATTTAGACATGGAACACTCCCAACAATGCCATTGTGGGTGCTCAAGCCAGTATGAAGCTTTCCCGTGCGACTCTTACGAGTTTCTAATTTGAATATACAGGGAAGGTCAACAAAAGCAAGTTTGAGTCCCCTGCTTCGAGTTTTTTTTAAGCATATTTTAGCTCTCATACAATTTTAGTCTGGTACCCTAGTTAGATTGCCTTATTTGATAAAAGTGATATTTGTCCTTCATTTGTTCTTACTTAGCAAGGTATTAAAGTTCTTGCTCGGTTATCATCCAACGCAATCACAGGCAGTCCAACATTTGTCCTTATTATGCAACAGGAGCAAAAACCAAATCAATGATTTGTGGTGAATAATCATATTTTCTAAAATTAAGAGTATGAAATAACACAAACTATTTGCTACTGTGGTAGGAATAGGACGCTCTCACTTCCACCAATGAAATGAATATTCATAAGAAATAACAACACCATCAAGCAAGTCAAATCAAAACCCTAACATCGACAGAGACGATGGAACTCTAACTCAAGTCTATGCTAATGATCGAGAATACGAACAAGTACAATTGATTTCTGATAATTACAGTAGATTAAAACATTGAATGAAAGAATCGTTGAAAGAAAAAAAAAACTACCTCGCGACGAGAGAGGTCGGCTTTCCAGGCGGCTTCACGCTCGGCGACTTCGCGTTCGCGCTCCTCGATGTAACTCTGCATCTCTCTCTCCTTCATCATCCTGTCCTGTATGTCGGCGTCGAGCGCTTCCTTCAACTCCTGCACGAACTTCTCCACCACTGCCTTTATTCTCAGCTGAGACATCACTCTCTCTCTCCACCACCACTGCGCAAAACCTAGAGTTCTATCTTCAGTACAAAACAATGTCAATAAAGGGTTTCAGATTTAGTAGAATTATATCTGAAAGACTCCATTTTTGATCGGAGAGGTGACGATGGCTCTCTCTCAACTCGTTCGGTCCCAGTATAGTTCGTATGCACGGAAGGAATTCGAACACAGGGGAAAGAGAAGTCCTTTCCTTTCTTGTCACGCGAAAGAAGAAGAATCCGTGAAGTAAGGGAAACCAAACTAGGCCTTTTATTATTCGATAATTAAATATTGACACGTAATTAGTACTACTGTGTGATATTTTGGCATAGTGCACATGTGAAGTTTATTAATTTATTAACAATATTTGAAATTTTTTTGGAGAGAAAATTTTCATGTCAAAATTAGCCGTTGACCAAGCAGAATTTAAAGTATCAATTAGAGATGCTCCGGCTTTCAAATTAAGTTTCGCTTTGTCCTCAATCCTCTGAATTTTAGTTTTCCCGTTCCTTTAATTGAGAATAACAAGGTTACGAATCCAGCTAGCTGAATGTAGTAATTTTTTTTTTTTTTTTTCCCGCTTAATGTGTTGAAACATGTATTATTGGTGTTGGATTATGGCAAATAGACATTTCAAATAAATGCAATTTTATTTATACACAAGATATAATTAGTTAGTGACATGTATTACCATTTTATTGAAGCTCATTTTCTTCTTGTGATTTAGTTAGAATTAATTTTAGCAGCGTATGATTGATTTTTGCTTCTTAATATCTTTGTCTAGCACAAATGTATTCATTTAAATGTGTTTGACAAAACAATTTGAATATTACTGAAAACAGTAAACACAATTTCAAATTTACTAAAATTTTAAGTGATATAAACCAACATTGAAAAATCAAAAAAATTATAAAAAAATATTTGTTTTTCAATTATCACTTCCAAACTTGGGTACTTAAAATTCAAAAAATTAATTTTTTTAGTACTTAATTTTCAATTTTATCAAACATCACTTGAGTATTATTTTTCTTCTGCCAAAAATTTAATACTGGGTTAAATGAAAAATGTTAATAAGAAAAAGACATGAGATGTAATAGTGAAATTAAACAATTTTTATCCTTTCTTTTTTCTAAGTATTTAACGAAACAATTGAATACAATTATAAAAAGAATAATGATACGGCAATTGAATTTAATCACCGAATAACACCCGAAATTGTCACATCACTCACTCATTCATTAAATGGAAAATTCTACCATTTTAAAAAGATTACTTTATCCTCAAAAAATCATCCAAACCCTTCCACATTTTCTCTCTCTCAAATAATCATCCAAACCCTTCCTTATTTTTCTCTCAAAATTCCTCCATCTCTGTCACACTGTCCTACCCGCCTCTCCACCTCCACCGTCACCATCTCTGTGTTGCCCTCACCCCTCCACTGTCACAATCCTTTAACTTCACATCTCTCCCTAAAAGTCTTTCAAATTTGTTCATTCTCAATCACCCATCAAACTTTTCAAATTATCTATTAATTTCTATTGTTTTCTTCATTCAAAGAAGACCCAAATCAACAGTACACCATGACATAGATGAGTAGAGCCATTTTCCTTCACAAAGCCCTAATGAAGTTAGAGATTAGGGCATATATGTGAGAGATGCGAAATTGAAGAGAGAGAGAGAGAGAGTCAGAATCGGAGAGAGAAGAGAGAAGAAAAATTATGATTTATTTGCTGGTTTGATGGGGTCACCATTAATTTTTCTAGTGAATTCTTAAATTGAATGTTGGATGATGATAAAGTCTTCCTTGTTCATCGCTTGACCCAATCGGATTAACTAAAGATTGTAGATCATGGAAGGGAATTGCATCCTTATTGATGAGATAATGGGATTGTGGTTGATATATATATATATATATATATATATATATAGAGAGAGAGAGAGAGAGAGAGAGAGAGAGAGAGAGAGAGAGTCATTTTGAACACAAAAATACTGGATGATTATTTTGAGAGAGAAAACGTGGAAGGTTTGGATGATATTTTGAGGGTAAAGTAGTCTTTTTAAAATAGTAGAATTTTTCATTTAATGAATGAGTGAGTGATGTGGCAATTTTGAGTCTTAATCGGTAATTAAATTTGGTTGTCGTATCATTACTCTTATAAAAATGATTGAGTTCAAACTCTCAACCTTCTCTTTTTTATTTTTCTCTTTTTTTACCATTTAGAATATGGAGGGTGTTCAAGAACAAAGTGTGTTTACCACAAAACAAAACAAAACAAAACAAAACAAAAAACCTTCTCAAAATTAATTGCACATTCTCATTCATTCCCTAGTCCCTTTCCTTCCTTAATTCATTTTACAGTTCAAATCATTTTAGAACCAAACAAAATAATACTCGTAGTATTTCTTAACCTTATTTTCTCTTGTATTTTTACTTTCTTTTTCTTCCCTCTTTTCCCATTGGTCTGGTGAGCCATGAATGCCATTTCAAGGTTGAAGCGCACACCCCCACCATTCGCTGGACCTCTACTCCTTCCTCCTCTGCTACCTTTTCGTCCACACTCGTCCACGCCCGCCTGCTCCAGCATCGTCACAGATTCATCTTCTCTGGTTGATGAATTCACCAAGTACTGTTATCAAAGAGATCTCCCAAGAGCCATGCAAGCCATGGATTCCATGCAAAAACACAAAATATGGGCCGATTCTATCACCTATTCCGAGCTCATCAAGTGCTGCTTGGCTCGAAGAGCGATTTCACAAGGCAGACTCGTCCACAAGCACGTATTCTCTAATGGGTACGAGCCCAAGACGTTTCTGATTAACATTTTTCTGAACATGTATGTTAAATTCAATCTATTGGATGAAGCGCAAGCACTGTTCGATCAAATGCCTGAGAGAAATGTTGTGTCGTGGACGACAATGATAGCGGCTTATTCTAATGCTAAGCTCAATGATAAGGCCTTGGAGTTCTTGATTTTAATGCTTAGAGATGGAGTAAGTCCTAACATGTTCACTTATTCTTCGGTTTTGAGAGCCTGTGATGGGCTGCCCAACCTTAGACAGCTTCATTGTAGCATATTTAAGATTGGGTTAGATTCTGATGTCTTTGTTCGGAGTGCTTTAATTGATATTTACTCAAAGTGGGATGAATTGCAAGAAGCTCTGCGAGTTTTCAATGAGATGGTGACTGCAGACTTGGTTGTTTGGAATTCCATCATTGGTGGGTTTGCTCAGAACAGTGACGGTCATGGAGCTTTAAATCTTTTTAAGAGCATGAAGAGGGCTGGTTTTTGGGCCAATCAGGCAACGCTTACCAGTGTTTTGAGAGCTTGTACTGGTTTAGCACTGTTGGAATTGGGGAAACAAGTTCACGTTCATGTACTAAAGTTCAACCAAGATTTAATCCTTAATAATGCACTTCTTAATATGTACTGCAAGTGTGGCAGTTTGGAAGATTCGAACTCTACTTTTGCTCGGATGGTGGAGAAGGACGTGATCTCTTGGAGCACCATGATAATAGGTTTGGCCCAAAATGGTTTCAGTCTTGAAGCACTGAAATTGTTCGACTCAATGAAACTCTCAGGTATAAAACCAAATAATATCACTATTCTTGGTGTTATGTTTGCCTGTAGCCATGCAGGGCTTGTAGAAGATGGACAGTACTACTTCCAATCAATGAAGAAGCATTTCGGGATTGACCCAGAAAGAGAACACTACGGCTGCATGGTGGATCTCCTTGGAAGGGCCGGGAAGCTTGATGAAGCAATTAAGCTAATTCATGAAATGGAATGTGAACCAGATGTGGTTACCTGGAGAACTTTGCTTGGCGCGTGTAAGGTTCATCGTAACACCGATATCGCTATATATGCTGCCCAAAAAATTCTAAACTTGGAACCCCAAGATACAGGAACCTACATACTTTTATCCAATATTTATGCAAATTCTCAAAGATGGGAAGAAGTTGCAGAAGTGAGGAGGACCATGAGGGATAGAGGAGTCAGGAAGGAACCAGGATGTAGTTGGATTGAAGTAAATAAACAGATTCATGCTTTCATACTGGGAGACACGTCACACCCACAAATTGGTGAGATCGGCAGGGAGCTGAGCCAGTTGATTTGGAGATTAAAGGAAGTGGGTTATGTTCCAGACACAAATTTCGTCTTGCAAGATCTTGAAGGGGAACAGAAGGAAGACTCCCTCCAATACCACAGTGAGAAACTGGCAATTGTGTTTGGCATGATGAGCTTGCCAAGGGAGAAGACTATTAGGATCAGGAAGAACATCAGGATCTGCGGAGACTGTCATGTTTTTGCAAAACTCTTGGCAAAGATGGAGAGTAGGAACATTGTTATCAGGGATCCAATCCGGTATCATCATTTCCATCATGGAGTTTGCTCCTGTGGCGACTATTGGTAGCAGAATACGATTATAGCTATCCTTTGCTGTGCAGAGGTGAAGGCAGGTGAAGAGGAAAAAATTAGATGGAATCATGATTATAGTAGTGATGAGTGTATGCTCAGGGTTCGTTAATGGTGCAATTGAAGGAGTTGTTCTGTGTATTGGCTGGTGGTGGTGAACATGCACAAAACTGTGGCAATGGCTGTGTTTAATTGTGGGATGCAGTGATAGACGGTGGATGGGGTTGTGTTGATGGGTTTCATGGTTTGAGTGGAAGTGCAGCTCGAATTCGGGTGAGGAAAAGAGAAAGGAAAGAAGAGAAGATTCGTTGGTATTAGAATGGTGAGAAGAGGTGGTGGTGTCATATAATGGCAAGAAGGTTTACTTTCCTCCATTTAACCTCTATTTTTTGGTGACACCTCCCCACCATCCACTTCTTTAGAAATTTTGTGGTCATGGAGCTGTGACAATTTCTCTTTCTTTTGGGGTACAATTTGGAGGCAATACTAATAAGTGTGTTTGAGATGGAGAAAGGAGTAAAGATTTGAAAAGAGAATGTGAGGATCCTCCAATTTGGAATCAGTGGCATGGTGGTGACTGGTAATAGCAGCGTCCTGGTTTATAGTGGAGAGAAAGTGAGGAGAAATGGGACTCAGAAGGCTTTTTCCAACCTGGTAGAGGCCTGAGACAGGGCTGCCCATTATCTCCACTTTTATTTACTTTACTAACTGAATATTTCTCTTCTTTAGTTGAAGCTGAAGTTAATGCAGGTTATCTTAAGCCTATTGCAGCTAATGCAAAGATAAAGTCCAATCTATGCCATCTCTTTTATGTTGATGACTTGCTTGTGGTCACCAAGGCTGACCTGAGTTCCGTTTTGGCCATTACAAAGATTCTTGCTGAGTTTACTGATTTATCTTGGTTGCATCCCAATGAGAAAGTCCACTGTCTATTTCTCAAAAGCTGTTCGAAGGAGGCAATGTATTCTTAGAGTTTTACAATTCAAGGAAGGCACTTTTCCTTTCAAATATTTGGGTGTCCCTTTGAATTATAATGCTCATCTCTTTCAACTATCTTCGATCTTTGGGATAAGGTAAAAGTAAACTAACTACTTGGTCAAATCTTAGCCTTTCTTTGGCTAGCAGGACTGAATTAGTTAGCTCTGTTATCTACCCCCTAATCTTGTATCGGTGTTCTGCTGCAAAGCTTCCTGTCAACGTTTCCCATATTATTCAAAGGAAAATTAATAATTTCATCGGGGGTGGTTCTGATTCTTTTTCTAAGATGCATTTTCTGAAGCGGGGTCTTATTGCTAGGCCTAAACCTGAAGGTGGGTTTGGTCTTAGACGTGTGGAAGATATTCAAACTACTGTTTTCTGTGGGTTGGCCTGGGATAAAACTTGCGGGTCAGATTGTTTCGTGATAACTATGCTAGGGGTGTTTCATATTGGAATGCAGTTCAATTTTCCAGTGCTTCTCCCATGTGCATGCTTTCTGTTAAGAATGTTATGCAACAAGCTGTTACTTTCCATATTGCAGATAGACATAAATTTAGCTTATATAAGGACCCTTGGTGTGGTGGTGAGACTTTGGTTCAGCTGTTTGGCCACAGGCTATTCAGAAGTTTACCTTTTCGTAGGGATTCGTCTCTTTCTGCTATCATACAGAATAACAGTTGGTGTTTTGATTTGTTTGATACCCCTGATTTGCAGATGGTTAGCACTATTCCAGTTCACTCTAATACAGATATATTGTTATGGAGGATGGTAATTTCAGTTTTAAAAGAGCTTGGGAGGGTTGTAGGTCCCATGATGTTTCTGTGGTGTGGAGGAAACTGTGTTGGAATAGAGCTAGACCGGGAACAAATTTTACCACTTGTATTGTTCTGCATGACAAGCATCCACTGTTTTCAAAATGAGGATACCAGGCATCATCTATTTTTTGAATGCAATTTTGCCAGAAGCGTCTGGGATTGGCTTAATAATTCTTTTGATTGGCATATGGATTGTCAAACCTTTGATGGCTTTCTTTTGTGGGCTATACACAAGGTTGCTTCTTCTAGTCGATTTTCTATGATCGTCTCTACTACTGTATGGTCTGTTTGGCAGGAAAGAAATTTGAGGATGTTTCAAGCTACTACAAGAACTTCAGTGGAGGTTGCTAGAGCTACTGTTTTTGAGCTCATGGATGTGTCTGCTCTGTCCTTGAATGATGTTTGTCATTGGCACTAGGATTCTGTCTTTCTTGTCTTCTGGTTGCTTCCATGTGTATTGGTAGTGGTAGTTTTCACTTTTTTGTGTGTATTGGACAGGGAGGGAATGCCCTCTCTTTATCCATTGTACTGATTTGATTATTTTTCAATGGAATTTACCCCGCTGGTAGTAAATAAAAGTTATTTTTAATTATTATTATTTTTTTCCAGATGAACAGAGTTACTTTTTCAAACTGGCAAATGGTCTCTTTTATTCTTTATTCTATATATATTTTCTAATAAATTGCAAATTTACCTTTAAATTTGTAACTACTGTCCTCACACTTTGAACCACAATCTCTCCTCTTGATAGGCATAATTATGTGCAGATTCCTTTACTAATGAATGAGATATGTATAGGAGCAATATTAGCCATTTACCTTTTCTAATAATTAATTGCAAAACAGGAATTAAGCCTCTTTTTTTTTTTAAAAAAAAAAAATGAAAATGAAAATGAAATAAGTTTGACATAGGTGGCTTGGATCCCTGTACATGTTCACTGAAAAAATAAACGGTGGATCCCTGTGAGGCTGTGTCTGTCTAGACTCTACGGTCTCTACCGTACAAAAGAATGAAAACCGGACAATGAATTCTTGTCAATGTTCAGTTTCAGCTCGTTCACAAGACCATCGCATTCCTCTCTCTCTACAATTTTCACTCGTCTGCATTTTATGATTCTTTAAGACCATACATATACATATACATGTATATATATGTATAGCTTCGAAAAAAGATGTCAGTTTCGCAAACCCTAGGCGGCACGTCCCGCTGTGGCCGGTTGTTGGGGCCATCGCTCGACAAGATCGTCAAGAACGTCACCTGGAGAAAGCACTCACACCTCGTCGCCGCCTGCAAAACCGCGCTCGACAAGCTCGAAACGTTCTCCGACTCCTCCGATCCAACCTCGTCTTCTCCTCTGTACGGTCTATCTTCCTCCGACGCCGATTTCGTCCTCCAACCCTTAATTCTCGCCCTCGATTCCGGCGCTCCCACGGTCATCGAGATCGCTCTTGATTGCGCCTTCAGATTATTCTCACATGGTCTGATCCGCTGTGAAATCGATCGTCCCATTGGAAAGGACCGCCCTCCCTCTGTATTCCGCCTCGTCGACAACATCTGTAAGTGCAGTGGTCTCGGGGAAGAGGCGATCGAGCTTGGCGTGCTCAGGGTCTTGCTTTCCACCGTGAGATCTCCGTTTATGTTGATTAGGGGTGAACTCTTGGTTCACATTGTTAGGACCTGTTACAATTTGTATCTTGGTGGGTCGAATGGGACGAACCAGATCTGCGCAAAGTCGGTTCTCGCGCAGATGATGATTATTGTTTTCAAGAGGGTTGAGGAGGACTCAATGCTGGTTAATTTTAAGACGGTTTCGGTTGCAGAATTGTTAGAGTTCACTGATAGGAACTTGAATGAAGGGAGTTCAATACAATTGGTTCAGAACTTCATTAATGAGGTTGTGGAAGTAAATGAAGGGGTTTCAGATTTAAAACCGTCGCAAGAATTACAAAATGGGAATCTTTCAGAGGTGAAGTCAGAAGGGAAAGGTGTATTGAGTGATGGTGAATCAAATGATGGGGCTGATTCGAGTGGGGGCAGTAAGATTAGGGAGGATGGATTTATGCTTTTCAAATATTTGTGTAAATTATCAATGAAGTTCTCTTCACAGGGGCATTCCGATGATGATATTCTTCTCAGGGGGAAGATATTGTCTCTGGAGCTGCTTAAGGTAATCATGGACAATGCGGGTACAATTTGGTGTATAAATGAGAGGCAAGTGTTCAAAAACTCATTAAGGGTTTAGCCTCATGTTTGAATTTGTTATTTGAGTTTGATTTTAGATGTTATTGTGACTATTTTCCTTTTCGTTATTTTATTTTGCAAATGGTTTTGCTTGATACCTGTCAGTGTTGGTCAGTCACTAATTATGTAATTTTGTACTATGATAATCAAATCATTACAAGTAGAGAAAAGATGCTGAGAACAGACCAAAGAACAAAAAATTGAGTGATCATTCAATAAATGGTATAAATGTTTTTGGAGAATAAAGATGCTGAATCAGGGTTCAGTGTGTAACTGTCCTACAGGAGTATGTGTTGATCATATGGATGATTGGGTGCAGTTCTCTTCTTTCTATACCTTGTTACATGCCAATGAACCTAAATTACGATTTGGTTTTGCTAAACTATCTCTTGGTCAGGAAATTTTATTTATTTTCATTTCTATTCTTATTAAACTATATGATGATTTTCACTAATCCATTATTGGTTTTGCATGATAAAAACATTTTCGAAACCATGCTTGGAAGTTATTATCACTCTACTTTTCTTAAATTGTTGAACTGAAATATAGATTAACTAATAATATACACTATGGATGTTAGGTTTCATGCAGTCAACTTATTGCACAAATTAGTCTTATTGGCGAATAAACAATTTTAAATTTCACCTCTATCACTTTTGGAGTTTCTCAATTTAATTATTTTTGTATCCTTTAAATACTTGTATTGAAAAATAAAAAGGAAAAATCCAAAATTCATATGAGCTGCACACTATTAATTACAAGCAAGAAAATCCAAAATTCTAATGAAAACAGAAAGTTTCCACAATCTCCTCTGAATGTCCATACAAAAAAACTTGACATCTTCCCTTTTATGTCCTTTATCTTCTTGCGAAACCAAAGCTCTTTGAACCTGCCACTTCACAATGATTCTATTAGAATTAATGAAGAACTTGTATCACATCCCCAAGAAGACATGTAGTAACACTTTAATTCCTAATACTAAACTTCTATATAAAAATGAGTATCCCAAAAGACCATCAAAAGAATTAATGGAGAACTTGTCCCACATTCCGAAGAAGGCATGTTCCATCATTTTAGCTCATAATCCTAAACTTCTTTACTAAAATGAGTATCCCAAGTGACAATCACCAGGGAGAGTGGCACAAATCGTCAAGAGTTGATATATGCTACGCTGTCAAACGCCAAGGCAAAAAAAGAAATAATAATAATAATAATAATAGAATAAGATCCCATAGCACCTTGAAATGTAAAAAACAAGTGATCCATTGACTTTGCCACCTTTTTGCACATACCTTGCAATGTGAAGACAATTAATCCACACACCGTGCTGCCTTCCTTGCAGGCTTGCACATAATGTAAACATTTTGGATCTTCTTTCTACGCCTGAACTGATATACCACACAAGCATATCTTTTGCGACCATCTTATGTAAAAAGAACCTACTTTTGTTAGCAGCAAAAAAGTCCAAGGGAAATCGGAAACTTGCCAAACCTTCATCATAGGAAACATGATGTAACTGAGAGTAAACTATTATAACTACCGTCTTAGATGTCAACAGTAGTCAAACACCTCACTTAATTTTTTACCCAATAATTTTTTTGAAATAAAGACAATCCATTCTCCTAAGCTACAAAGTTTAATTGATATTTTTTTATTCAATGATTGTAAAAGGATTCAAATAATACTGACGCGGAAGATCCCCACACTAAAGAACCATTAAAAAATTTATGTTTTAATAATGCCCACAGGTAAACTTAATTCTATGAATAAATATTGCTTACCTTTGATTCACATTCCTCCGAAATTGATGTGTTTGTTGCTTTGCCCTATCCAGCCGTGATTCCCAGTAAGCACCTTCTCCAGTAACAACTCTTCTCAACAGCAAATCAACTTAGATGAATTTCTTTACCTCAGAAGGTACTCTTCCCATACCAAGCTGTTTTGCATATGAATAAAACGTCGACAAGATAAAACTTAAATTATTCCCCAAACTGTGCTAAATGGAGTCTTATGGAAGCTTTTCCAACTTCATGGCTAAGGAAATCAGAATATTAGGTAAAGACAATATATTTTTCCAAATACGAGAGCGTATTGTGGATCAATATCAACTTAACTCCTTCAGAAACATAACATCTTTTCCAATCACACAACACTTCTTACATTTTCACAATTGCACATCTTACACCACTTCTATATTCAAATAATATACATAAAGCAATCCAGATACCAGGAGGAGGAAGTATTCCATCTCTACACCTACAATTAATTAAGAGAGAATCCATTTCGTCCATGTTTTCTTCTGGCACAGTTTCACTCTTAACCATGTTTACCTTTGACCCTAGATCTTAAAAACAAAGAACCCCTTTTAAATAGTAATCCATATTTTACCCAAAAATTATCCTTGTATCCTTTAATAATTTTTTTTATTACAAGTCTTTTGAATCACTTTTTTAATACTTCCATTGCAATAATAAAAGGTAGAGTATATAATGATATTAAAATAGCAAAGCATATAATAGAGAAGCCATTTTTTGGTGCACTAGTAAAATTCTCAGCTATCAAGTGTGAGAACATGGGATTGAATATTAAGAGGAATCACTTTGTGCAGATTGTGCCAAAGGTTTGGTCTGTATCTGCTTCACTCCTCCCAACACTCCCGATCAACGGTGATCACATTGGGTAATGGCCCTTTAAGAGATATAATGTAAGGATCCCCTTGCTTAAGGCTTTTGAAGTCTTGAAAAGACCATGGGGCTTTGATTAACCATAATCGAAAAAAAAGCATTGGAAGCTCGAAAAGTACACACTTTATCCACATATTCTACTTCAAGAAATTCATACTTGTGCAAAAAATAAAATAGGAACTTTAAATTATTATAGTCGTAAATAAGTTTTCTCCACATTTCGTTTATAGCACCATCATTGTAGTTGTCCATGTAAGGTTTGTTTCCAATCATTTATTGCTATAAGTACCGGATCTAAAATTTGAAAAGGCCATAAAAAGTCATTACCTAGTATGGTTCTGGTTTACCGACATTGTTGAGAGGGGCAGACTAGGTACAAACATAACATTTGACATTGGTTTGACAAAGTGGCCTATTTTCATACTCAAACCAACTTTCTCACACTTGACAATCTGAACTTTTTTTCCATTGCACCAAGCAATGGTTAATGCTTCTATGCCTGAAGTAATTTACCATAGCTCTGCAAGAATTGGGATAATGTAGTTGGATTAAATAGTCAGACAGTATAATGGTAAATTTTTCTTTTCAGTAATATCCTTACTTAGTTGACAAAAGTAACTATGGGTAATAGTTAGATAAAAAGAATGTCAGTAACAAGTAATTGGTGATACATAAAAGGCCGGGAGCTCATGTATCTCTCAGATTACCTTAAATTTGATTATGAATTCATGCAATAGAATTAATGTATATAAGATGTGATTCAGCTTCAGGCCAATTTATCATCAATGCTTTATGCCAATTTAAGCAGCAGGTGGCATCCATAAAACACGGAAGGAAGAAAAAGGAAGAATCTTTTTTGGACATCCTTATATTAATTGTCTGGTTTCTGATGTCGGATGTCCCTGGAGTGTTTTAGCTTTTTCCCTTTATTTGTTGAGCAGATGTGTCAAATTTTTTGTATTGCTGTTGTTAAGTAATCAAATTTTGGTTATTTTTTGAATAGTCATACAGTTATCTTGTTAAAATTAAAAAGAATATAATATTTTTTATTTTTTATTTGTACAGGTTTATTAATTCCATCAAGCAGCATCTTTGCTTATCATTGTTAAAGAACAGTGCACTTTCAGTTATGAGTATATTCCAACTTCTTTGTTCAATATTCATAAGCTTATTGTCAAAATTTAGATCAGTGTTGAAATCAGAAATCGGAATTTTCTTTCCGATGCTCATCCTTCGTGTGCTTGAGAATGTGCTTCAGCCAAGTTTCTTACAAAAGATGATTGTCCTCAATTTAGTGGAGAAGATCTCTCAAGATTCACAGATTATCGTTGATATATTTGTCAACTACGACTGCGATGTGGATGCTCCTAACATTTTTGAAAGGTATTGAGAATATTTATCGTATCTCTTCCCTTCCCTTACGTCTTGAATGTGATTTAGGCTTAGGCAACCCTCACAAGCTTGTGGAATATGACATCTTTCCCCTTCCTTCTCTTACATTTCGAATGTGGCATGTTGATATATATACAAGACTATCATGGATTACTGATGGTGAGCCATTGGGATAACTTTTCATTGATCTGATTTGCCCTAATCTCCTGAATTTGATTATTGCTTATACTTGTTAGAGACAGTGACTATGCTTCTGTATGAAATAAAAAGTTTGAACTAATATTAGAGTTTTATCCAATTTGTGTGGTGGTGTATGTAACACAGTTGAGTTCTATATAAGCTGATGATGCCTAGAGCCTAGGGTTCCTATATTCTATGGCTGAACCACAAGGGGTTCTGATGGATTATCAAAATAAAAGGGATATGATTAGGGTTTGAAAACCATTGATTTTGGGCCTTGGGTTCAGATTTTGATAATCAGCCTAAAATGTGCTCCATATTTAGCAAACAAGAAAGATCAAGAGAAAAAAATATTAAAGTACCCTACTCCATGTGGGATTGTTTGTGACCACACTCGAACTTAAAAAGAAGTTTTGCACTCATTCTTTAACCAAGAAAAACCTTTCTTTGAACCCTAATCTTAATTGTAGCGAAGGGCCTTATTTATATTTACTGGAAAACCATCAAGACTCGTAAACCATATAAAATTTGACCCACTTATACTGTAACTAAATATGACTCAAATTGCATGAAAAAATAGAGTTTATAAGCTACTAATGGGCCGGATTCCAACAAGAAGTTGGACTTCAAGAATCTGAAACTCTGACCAAGAGAAGTAACATTGGAATATAGAAAGATTTAAAAATAGAACTTATTAAACTTCTGTATGACTTAAATAATCTTAACTGTAATAAGAAATAATAACACCCATAACCAAACAAACAGCCCTAATATTTAACATACTCGTACACTAAAACTAATGCTGTATCTTGATTGCTTGGGTTTGGCTTTTCTTTCTTTGTTGCTCTTGCATCGGGTTATGTCTCTCTATCCCTATGGAAGGAAGCCATGCCTCATTTGCCTTCTGATAGGATTTGGGGTACAAATGTGATGTATGTGTCTAGAAGGGGCAGTTACCTGTTTGAATTAACTCTTGTCATTTGTTCATATATACAGTGGCTTGACTAAAATGGGATGTCCAGTTATATTAAAATTCGGATATGTTTACACCCAAATCCATTTAAGATAATCTTCATCATTTTTGCAAAAGCTATAATTAATTTGCTTTATTGAAAACTAGGACCAAGATATATCTGTCAAAAAAAAAAAAAAAAAAAAAAAAAACAGAAAACTAGGACCAAAATATACTGAATTTTGTTTAGTAGAAAAGACATATTTGATTCATTTCTTGAAGAAACCCCAAGTGAGGATGCGGAGAATGCTGTAGAATAAGTTCTCTGTTTTGTGACGGTTGATAGTCCTCCATCTACAAATGCTGTAGAAGTCACTTATTTAATTATGCCTCCCCCTCTCTCAAAATGCACATTAGTTTTTTTTTTTTTTTTTTTTTTAATCTTTGTAATTACTATAACATTGTGGCAATGCAGTTTAGCAAGTTGTATTAAAACCCTTTTAATTCCATCAGATATTTGCAGGACTGTCAATGGCCTTCTGAAAACTGCTTTAGGTCCACCTCCTGGGTCCACTACCACTTTGTCTCCAGCCCAGGATATTACATTTCGGCTTGAATCAGTTAAATGCTTGGTTAGAATTGTTAAGTCAATGGGATATTGGATGGACCAACAGCTGAAAATAGGAGATTTTTATCCGCCAAAGAGCTCTGATTACGAAAATTCGATTGAGAATCAGACATTGCTGAATGGAGAAGAAGGAATTGCCCTTGACTATGAGCTGCATCCAGAAGGAAATTCTGAACTCTCAGATGCTGCAACCCTTGAACAATGTCGAGCTTATAAATTGGAGTTGCAGGTTAAGTTACACTTTACTTGAAGAGTGATAATTTTTTTATTTTTTATTTATAAATACTTGGAAGAGTGATAATATGATCATTCCCTTGTCATTTTAGAATGCCTAGTCATTTCTTGTGTACCCATACTGAGCTCACCCATCTGAATATGGTTGCCTTTTGGGTGACATGAGTAGTTACTATGAGTCTCAAATGCCTTATGTGCCATGATATAATTCTCTTTTTTAAGTTTATATCTTGACTTGGGAATAATCTAGTTTAACCTGTACTGGCAATTTTTGGGTTCAATGCAGAAAGGTGTTTCACTGTTCAACAGAAAACCCTCAAAAGGCATTCAATTTTTTATAAGCACGAATAAAATTGATGGATCTCCTGAAGCAGTGGCTTCATTTCTTAAGAACACTGCTGGGCTAAATGAAGCTATGATCGGTGACTATTTGGGTGAAAGGGAGGATTTTTCCTTGAAAGTTATGCATGCTTATGTGGATTCCTTTAACTTTGAAGGAATGGACTTTGGTGCAGCAATTAGATTTTTCCTAAGGGGCTTCAGGTTACCTGGAGAACCACAGAAAATTGATCGCATCATGGAAAAATTTGCCGAGCGCTATTGTAAATGCAACCCAAATTCATTTACTAGTGCAGATACTGCTTATGTTCTTGCTTACTCTGTGATATTGCTCAACACTGATGCCCATAATAGCATGGTAAAAGATAAGGTGAGCCTGCTGAAATTTTCCCCATTTGCCTTCTACCACAGTCATGACAAGTGCAATTCTATTGGCTGTGAAATTTTTTATTGAATATTTAATAAAATTAATTTTTATTTTTTGCTCGTCGAAGTTGGGGAAAAAAAAAAAAAAAAGTTTCTTATGTAAGAATAAGTATATGTTTCAATTCATCTTTTCGTCCTTTCTTTAAATACCTTCTGCACTTGAGCCACGGACAAGTTACCTTTTTCAAAGAATAATTGTTTCAAACAACTTGGGTACTTCAATATTGTTTTGTTCTGTAATACTTATAGATAATTAGAGTGGAGGTCGGAACATGGAAGTATAAGATATTATAAAATATGTAATCAAATATAAGTATATGATGATATATCATAATCATCTTCCCATATTTATTATTCAAAATTACATTGATACTGCAAATTCAGGAAATTTACAATTTGTAGACAATATTGGTAAATGGAGGATTGATTGATTATGTTCTAACTTCCACTCTGCATTGTTCTTGGCTATTAAGATGAGCAAGGCTGATTTCATCCGGAATAATCGAGGGATCAATGATGGAAATGATTTACCTGAAGAGTATTTGGGCGCCCTCTATGATCAAATTGTGAAAAAAGAGATCAAGATGAATGCTGATTCTTCTGCACCACTGAGCAAGCAGGCGAAGAGTCTCAATAAACTATTCGGCTTGGATGGTATACTTAATCTTGTTTGGAAGCAGACAGAAGAAAAACCATTGGGTGCAAATGGGCTTCTTATAAGACACATTCAAGAGCATTTTAAGGCAAAATCAGGAAAATCAGAGTAAGATATAGAACTTGTAAAGATCAATTAGTAGTGTATTCATCTTATTTGTCTGTCAATTGTAAACAAGTTCTACCTGTGACAAGAGGGCTGATGTCATTCTTGCTCTAGCGGGAGGCAGTTTTAGTACACAAAATGGTTCCAGTTGGGAAATCTCAATGGTTTTACTTTATAAATACAGTCATGACTTTTCCTCCTTCATGTGCTACAGATTTTGGTACTGGTGTTGTGTGTTATATAAATGGGTGATAGATAATCCAATCTCAAAGATGCTGGTCACCTTCTCTCTCTTTTTCTTTTGAACCTTTTTTGGGAGAAAAACATAATGGAATTCCAATCCTATGTGGTGTTGCAGGTCTGTTTATTATGCTGTCGCAGATGCAGCTATATTGAGGTTCATGGTGGAGGTCTGTTGGGGCCCAATGCTTGCTGCATTCAGTGTAACTCTGGACCAAAGTGATGACAGGGAAGCCACTTCTCAATGCTTACAGGGATTCCGACATGCTGTGCATGTTACTGCAGTGATGGGTATGCAAACCCAGAGGGATGCCTTTGTTACCACTGTAGCCAAATTTACTTACCTCCATTGTGCTGCAGATATGAAGCAAAAAAATGTTGATGCTGTCAAGGTAATTAGGCTTACAATTCCTTTCCCATTCCAACCATGCATTCCTCATGAAAATGATTATCCATTGCATGAAATCAACATCAAGTGGATATTTCTTTTCCAACTCTGCATGATGTTTCCCGTTCGAGCATTTAGAAATGCTTGCATCAGAAAGTTCACAAATAGTACCCAGGCCCGTGTAGACACCTCAACGAACTCATGTGGAATCTCCTCAGCCCAAGGACAATCTCTGAGTCTCTCAAATACATATTAAGATGTTGACCCCTTTTTCATTTTTTTGCTGATTCCTCTCACTGAAATTTGCTATGTTGCATTAAGTTACTACATCATTTACTACTTGTGGATTTTATTCGATCATCCTACCTCATATCCTTTTGCTATCTATTTTAATTTCTGATTATTAGCCATCTGTTTCTGATCATATATATAAAGTGATTTGGTGGGTGGATTCCCCAGTCGGTTACTTCTCTACTTGTCAGTAAAGAATCTTGCATTGTGGTTCCCTATCCTCAAATGCATGTAACATGTGTATTCTGGAAGCAAGTCCTTATTCATCCTATTGTAACACTCATCCACATGTTTCACTTTAGTGCAGGCAATAATATCAATTGCTATTGAAGATGGAAATCATCTTCAGGATGCTTGGGAGCATATTTTGACTTGTCTCTCTCGATTTGAGCATCTCCAACTGTTGGGAGAAGGTGCACCGTCTGATGCATCGTTTTTCACTATATCTAACATTGAGGCTGAAGAAAAGAAACCGAAGTCCTCTGGTTTTCCATCTTTAAAGAAGAAGGAAACGCTCCAGAATCCAGCTGTGGTGGCTGTTGTCCGAGGAGGTTCGTATGACAGCACCACTGTTGGAGCGAATACCTCTGGACTGGTAACCCCAGAACAGATTAATAACTTCATTTCAAACTTAAATCTGCTCGACCAGATTGGAAATTTCGAGTTAAACCACATCTTTGCTCACAGCCAAATGTTAAATAGTGAGGCGATAGTAGCTTTTGTGAAGGCCCTTTGCAAAGTTTCCATGTCAGAGTTGCAGTCTCCAACAGATCCTCGTGTATTCAGCCTCACAAAAATAGTCGAAGTTGCGTAAGAGTCTATTCTTTATCTGATTGAGTTCTGTCTCAGAATCTCTAATCTCATTAAAATTTTTATTTCTTCATGATAGATCCAAAAAGACATTAATATATTCTGTCCGTGGTTTCTTTGTCTTGCAATAATACTCCCTCTGTCCCAAAATTCTTGGGCCTCTTTGGAACTCCAACTTTTTAAGGGGACAAGCATTTAATGCTGTGTCCCCTTTTAAAATTACAAAAGTACCCATTTAAAAGTAGTGTTTGTTGGGGGTAAGTTTTCAAAAAGTTGAGGATAATTTGGGAAGTAAATTACCTTTTTACATTGAGGGACATCCTAAGATGGAAAGAAGGCCAAGAATTTTGGGACGGAGAGAGTATATATTTTTTAGCTATCGCAAAATAAATGAGTAGGTGGTTCAGTTCCATGATATTTTTAGTTATTATTGATAACTAAATGTACAAATATTTTTCATCTCTTTCTGTATAGGATTATGAAGTTCAATTGATTCTTAAATATTTAAAAATCCCAAATCGCTCCTTCTTCTTTTTACATAACTTTTTTCTTTTTAAAAAATTGATATGAAGATAGATCACTTAGTTGCTAAATTTGAAAAACTCCTGATGAGTTATCTATCTTATTTATTTTTACCAACAATGTCCAGAAAAAAAAAAGATGATGAAATATACAATCACACCATGGTTTCTCTTTTGCAGGCATTACAATATGAACCGCATCAGGTTGGTGTGGTCTCACATATGGAGTGTTCTTTCAGATTTCTTTGTCTCAGTTGGCTCGTCAGAAAATCTCTCTGTTGCAATATTTGTCATGGATTCATTAAGGCAGCTTGCTATGAAATTTTTAGACCGGGAAGAGCTGGCAAATTACAATTTCCAAAATGAATTCTTGAGACCATTTGCAATTGTCATTCAAAAAAGCATCTCTGCAGAAATAAGGGAGTTAATAGTTCGGTGTATTTCACAGATGGTCCTCAGCCGTGTCAACAATGTCAAATCTGGCTGGAAGAGTGTGTTTATGGTATGTAAATGTCTTTTATGTTTTATTTTTGGAATCATGCATGGTTCAAAATTCACTGGAATGGAGCAGAAGGCTGGAAGGTCCATATGCTAACCAGGAGCCTGATTGAAGTGAATATGTATGTAGACAGGAATATTTGGTCATGTTATTGACACTAGGTCCCCCTATGCTTTTTTTATTTTTATTTTTTTATCTTGGCAAGAAACTCACACACCCACATTGACCCCGATGGGGACTTGAACCCTCGACAATCTACTTTGGAAGGTGAGTATCACTAGGCTACAGCCCTTTGCGGTTCCCCCTTTCTTTGGGCTCAGCAAATATACAGCATTTAATTTTTTTATTCTTATTATTTATTTTTTTTTCCTGAATATTTGGGTAATCTAATTCAAGAGAAGATTTCTATTAATTTTAGAGAATATGGACCAAAGAAGTAAAATATTTTAAATTCAATAATTGCTTAAATTTGGCAAGAAGCTGCAACCTGGAGAAATTAGATTTGGGCAAGAGAAAGGCCTCTTGCAAATCTTTGAATTGAAAAACCATGGTATCAGTTTGTCTGAAAATTGGAATGGTTTGGGGAAAGTCTACTGAGGACACAATAAGAAGAGAGTTACTTTCACTATTAAAAGAACTAGTTTGGGGAAAGTTCAGGCAGAGGCTTTGAAAAGTTAAAAGACCTTTACACCATTTTTTATCTATTATTTTTGTTTAGATTTGTAAGAAGGGACATAGCTTGGTGCAATGGTAAAAGCTCAGATTGGTAAGCATGAGGTCGTGACTTTGAGTCCAAGAGAAACCACAAAATAATGGCAAAAGCCACAAAAGTTAAGTCTGTCTTCCGTCTTTTCCTCCCAAAAGCCAGCTTGCGAGCTTACATTGGGTAATGAATGCCCTTCTGTTTCAATTTATAAGCGTAATCTTTTTTTTGATAAAGTAAAATTTTATTAAAGCGCTCAAAAGGGGAGCGAATCCCAAGAGAAAAACAAAAGGCCACAAAGGACCTCTAAGCCTTCAAAGAGGCCAAAAAATCTACAATTTCCTCTATAAAACTATGATCTCTCCCTGAAACCCAACAAAAAAGAGTGGAGAGAATAAAGAATTTGAGAGTAGAAATCGACATCTCCTTCCCCTCAAAATATCTCTTATTCCTCCTGAGCCAAACAGACCACCACATATAAAGAGGCGTAGCCCTCCAAGCATCCTGAATGTAAGCCCCCACAAGGCAACCTCTCCAACCCTCAATCAATCCTTTAACGGATCCAGGCATAACCTAAAGAAACCCAAACAAGCTAAACATCAAATCCCAGCAGTCTCTGGCCATGGTGCAATGGAGGAGAAGGTGATCCACAGTTCCCTCATCCCGAAGGCACATATAGCAACGATTGACCACCACCTGATTCCTCCTCCTCAAGTTATCCTGGGTTAAGATCCTTCCCAGAACAGAGGTCCAAGCAAAGAAGCCCACCTTGAGAGGAGCCTTAGAGCGCCAAACAGCCTTTCAAGGAAAGCGAACTCCAGGATCATCTGTAAGACATCTGAAAAAGCACCTAACCTCGAAACGCCCCTGAGAGTTGGCTGCCTAAGCCCAACTATCTAAATCCCCAACCACAATCCTCTGGCGATAATACAACTACAAAAAGCGAATGGCCTCCTCAATCTCCCAATCCTGAAATAATTGTCTGAATCGAACATCCCAAACCAGTCTTCCGCTATCAAGATGATAACAGTTTACCACCATAGCCTGCCTATCCATAGCAATCCTGAAAAGTTGAGGAAAAGTGAGAGCGAGAGGAGAATCCTCACACCAAACATCCTCCGAAAAACTAATCCTCCTATCATCATTGATTCGAAAACGAACGTGTTTGGCAAAGTCATCCAATTTTTTTCGAATGACCTTCCAAACCCCCCCCCCCCCCCCCCCCCCCCCCCCCCCCCCCAACACCTCCAGAGAACACCACCCTTCTCTAGCCTCTCCAAAACGACTCGCAATGACCCTCCTCCAAAGCCAATGTCTCTCCACACCAAACCTCCATAACCATTTCCCAAGGAGAGCCTTATTGAAAGGCACCAGTCTTCTAAGACCCAAACCTCCATACCGAATCGGCCTACAAACCTAATCCCAACGAACCAGATGAAACTTGAACTCTTCACCTCTTCCCCCCCAAAGAAAATTATGTTGCAATCTCTCAATCCTCTCTGCAACTGAAGAGGGAATCTGGAACAGAGGGATAAAATAAGTGGGAAGGCAAGAAAGGGTGCTCTTCATCAGAGTGACCCGACCTCCCTTGGAGAGATACTGCTTCTTCCAACCTGCCAGCCTCCTCTCAAACCTATCCACCATAGGGTCCCAAACCCCCACACATCTCGAAGGAGCCCCCAGAGGCAGTCCTAAGTAAAAGAACCAGTACGACAACCAAAAATATCAACAAAGGACTCAATCTCAGGGACCTCTCCCACCGGCACCAAAACGCTCTTTCCAACATTCACCTTAAGACCAGAGACAACTTGGAACTAGATCAAAACACACCTCAGATATCTAAGCTGGCCACATTCACGTCACAAAGAACTAAAGTGTCATCGGCAAACATCAAATGGGAAACCTCCAACTGGGGAGCAGCATCCCTGCCCACTTGAAACCCTCTCAAAAACCCCAACTCAACAGCCCTGCTCATCAATTTGCTAAGGGTCTCCATCACAAACAGGAACAAGAAAGGGGAGAGTGCATCCCCCTGTCTCAAGCCCCTTGAGCTTCCATTCACAAGAATTGAAAAACGAGCACTGGAAATACAAAAAAGAATCCATCTCCTCCACCGATTACCAAACCCCATCCTCTCCATCAGGTAAAGAAGGAAGCTCCAACTCATGTGGTCGTACGCCTTCTCTAAGTCAAGCTAACACATAACTCCTAGGACCCCACTACGCAAACGGGAATCCACACACACTAGCAATAAGAACTGAGTCCAAAATCTGACGGCCTCCCACAAAAGCATTCTGAGAGTCAGAAATGATGCCATCCAGGACTTTTCTTAATCTTGAAGCAAGGACTTTGGCAATCAACTTGTAGAAACACCCCACCAAACTAATAGGTCCTCCTCTTCGGAATGAGAACAATGAATGTGGCATTCAAGCTCTTCTCAAAAGAGCCCCGAGTATGGAAAACATGAAAAGTACCCATCACCTCCCCTCTAACCACCTCCCAACGCTCCAGAAGAAATCTCATGGTAAAACCATCTGGCCCTGAGGCTTTATCCCCATTACAGCTCTTCAAAGCAATCAGAACTTCCTCTTCAAAAAAAGGCTCCTCCAGACCCGAGCCCTCCTCACCAAAAATAGAGGCAAACTGAAGTTCCTCAAGCAAAGGTCTCCACCCAACAGACTCATTGAACAACTTCTCATAGAACTCTGAAATGCCTTTGTTGACCTCCTCCTCCTTACAAAAAAGCTCCCCCTCCACCCGAATCCTCCCACTATGGTTGCCCTTTTCATGGGCATTGGCCAATCGATGAAAAAATTTCGTGTTACTGTCCCCCTCCTTAAGCCACAAAGCTCTAGACTTTTGCCTCCATGAGATCTCTTCCATGATCGCAATCTCAGCAAACTCTGCCTTACACTCCACCCTCCTAGCCTTCAAGGGATCCACCAGATCCTCTTGACCCTCCATCTTGTCAATATCAGCAATCTCAGCAAGGACCCGATTTTTCCTCCACACAAGATTCCCGAAGATCTCTTTGTTCCAAATCTTGATACTTTCCTTCAAGAGACGCAATTTTCCTGCAAGTGAATGACTTGGGGTGCCAAACACTCCAAATCCTCCCACCAGAGTCGGACCTTTTCCATAAAAACCCTCAGCCCGAAGCCACATATTTTCAAATCTAAAAGGAGAACGCCTACTTTGCAACCCACCACAATCCACCATCAACGGAACATAATCAGAGATAGGACGAACCAAAGTAACCTGGACAACGTTAGAAAACATCTCCTCCCACTCCCCGGACACAAGAAACCTGTCAAGTCGCGAGAGAGTAGGGGGAGAGCAGCCGCTAGACCAAGTAAAAGGCCCTCCATCCAAAGGCAGATCAATCAACCTAAACTGATCAATGAACTCCGAGAAGGACTCCATATTTGAAGTCCACCTACCTCCCGTTGACCTCTCAAAACGAACACATTAAAATCCCCTCCAACACACCATGGAAACATCCAACGTCTTCAAACCTCCCATAACTCCTCCCAAAGCAAATGACGCACGGTGTCCTCTGTAGGCCCGTAAACACCATCAAAAACCCAAGGAACACCATCCTCCACCAAAGAAAGAACACATGAAACAAAAAAAACTCCCAATATGAGAATCCACCATAGACACCCATCTGTTATCCCACATGATCAGGATGCCACCCGAAGAGCCAACAACATCCAAAGCAATCCATTCCACAAATCTCCCACCCCAAAGACAACGCACAATCCTATCTGACATCGAAGCGAGCTTGGTTTCTTGCAAACACACCACATGACCTCCCCCTTTACGAATAACCAACTTCACCACTTTTCTCCTGACCGAGTCATTGAAACCCCGGACATTCCATGAAAGAATTTGTAGCTTCATAGGGAAACACCTGAATTAGCAAACCCTCCCCTCCTTCCACTATCTCTCTCCCTGGACCCCCATTCCTCCTTTCATAAGTGATAAAATCAGTGAGACTCTGCATCAACATCTCTCCCACTCCGTCCTGCCTTCTTCCCCTACCTCCCACCCTCTCCCTGAGATGAGAATTAAGAACTTCATGGAACAGCCTCATTGCCTCCTCCCCCCTCCCCTCGAAAGACACTCCCAACAAAGAGCCCACCCTTCTCCCTCACCCACTCCTCCTCCAAAACATTCACTCCTTGAGGATCAGAAGGACTTCTCATCCAATCCCCCTCCGGACGAACAACAGCTAAAGGAACAGCCAAGTCCACTGTCTGCCCAAGATTCTCCCACGGAACCAACCCCAAATCCCCATCAAGTGCAGAGCAAGGAGCTCCCTCCCAATCATCAAAAGCAGAAGAGAAAAGGGAACAATCAGTCGTCTGTGTTTAGGTTCCTCCTCACACTGAACTGCATCGCTCGTTGAGCTTTTAATCTTTCATGATATCTTGCTCAAGGATTTTTCCAACATTGTCCAGAAAGTCAGAGATTTTGAATTGCATATAACCATGATATCTCCTTTTAGAAGTTTTTATGCTATGAGTTCCTGAAGTTACACCATCATGGGCTTGTACCTTGCACAACTCTCAGGCTGCTTATAGACCTATGCCTGTCTTCTGCGCATGGAAGCTTGGAAAGTAGCTAAATTGGCTCTTGCAAATATCACACTTCTGTCATAGTTTTCATGTTTATTTTCTCTTCCCAGGTTTCTACAGCTGCAGCAGCTATATCACACTTCTCTCATAGTTTACATGTTTATTTTTTCTTCCCAGGTGTTTACAGCTGCAGCAGCTGACGAAAGGAAGAATATCGTCGTGTTGGCTTTTGAGACCATGGAAAAAATAGTACAAGAATATTTTCATTGCATAACTGAGACAGAAACGGTTGCCATTACTGATTGCATTATATGTCTCCTCGCTTTCACAAGAAACAGTGATGTTAGCCTCAATTCCATTGCTTTTCTACGGTTCTGTGCTGTCAAGCTTGCAGATGGTGGTCTTGTTTGCAATGAGAAAAGGAAGGTTGATGACCCACCCATCCCAGTAGCATATGACGCCGCTTCAGATGGACAAACTTTTGCTGATAAAGATGATTGTGTATCTTTTTGGGTTCCTTTGCTTACAGGTAAACTCACTTTCAACTTAAGATACAAGGCAGGACAATGTACATGTTGAAAAGTTGGATGGCAGACTGTTTGCCTGCACCTGACTAGAAGATTTTTGGTAGTGGATGAAACCAGCCTAATTTTATAATCTATTGATTTTTTAAACAAGTACCTTTTCTTTTTCTATAATCTTTCTGATCTCTGAGACCGCTGCAAAAAAGCCTTAGAATTTAATCAAGCCCCTTGCAAAGATGCTAGTTTTTGTACTTGGAATTCATTGACAGTTACCATTTTGGCACTTGAATTTATAGTGCCTGCTTATTGGTTGGTGGGATTTACTCTGCAGTGTTATGTTTAATGAACTAATAAGTTTAAGCACCTTTATTTCATTCTGAAAATGTTGTTTCAGGGTTGTCAGAATTAACATCAGACCCTAGATCAGCTATTCAAAAGAGTGCTTTGGAAGCTCTCTTCGACATTTTGAAGGATCATGGTCATCTTTTTTCACAAGCATTTTGGATCAGTGTTTTCAGTTCTGTAGTATTCCCCATATTCAATCGTGTGCATGACAAGAAAGAAACACAAATGAACGATGACCCGTCTTCACCAGCTTCTCCTTTACATCCTGGGGGAAGTACATGGGATTCTGAAACTTCTGCAATGGCAACTGAATCTCTAGTAGACCTATTTGTGTGTTTCTTCAATGTGTTGAGGTCTCATCTACCTGGTGTAGTTTCAATACTTGCGGGTTATATAAAAAGTCCTCGTCGAGGTCTTGCAAGCAGTGGGGTAGCTGCATTGATTCGTTTGACAGGCGACTTAGGAGGCAGATTTTCAGAAGATGAATGGGGAATTGTCTTTCTTGGCTTGAAAGAGGCAGCTGCTTCTGTTCTGCCAGGATTTCTAAAGCTTTTGAAATACATGGACAGTGTTGAGGTGCCTGATATTGGTCCTTCCTATAATGAGTTGCAAACAAGTTCTGACCCTGGATTGACCATTAGTGATTCTGAGGATGGCAATCTGCAAACTGCGGCATATGTCATTTCAAGAATGAAGTCTCATATAGCTGTACAGTTGCTCATTATACAGGTTCTTTCTCTCTCTCTTTCTCTCTCTGTCCCCCATTTGTGCTCGCGCACGCATATTTGTGTTTTTGTATTTACATGCATCCAAATATAATTATGCCATGTGTTCTTGAGCACTCTCAGAATAGCAGCGTGTTTGTGTTTAGCTATTTGCGTGCATATTTGTGTTTGTAAATATTTACATGCATCCAAATATAACACCACAATGTATTATTGAACACACTCAGAAAAGCAATAGGGAATGAATTAGGCACATAGATCAAGCAACAGTTGAGTGCAGGGCTTGCTGCCTAGTTTGCCCCTCATAAGGAGATCTCACATTGGGTAGTAGTTTTTTTTTTTTTTTTTTTTTCAAAAAAAAAAAATAGAAAAAAAAAAAGAAGAAGAGTAGTGGTGGTTGGAAGGAACATTAACGTGGTAATTTTTCTCCATTATTATAAGGAAGAAGAATGGTGATCCTGTGGTCATCCCATGCCATATGTTCCTTTATCTCACCCATTTTAATATTCTTTTGCTCTCCTTATATATATCAAATATACTAAAGTACAAAGTTCCATTCATCATTTAACAAATAAAAATACAATAACCTAATAAAAGTGGCATCTTTTTTTTTTTTGGCCAATAAGATTCCTATAATTTTGCCATTGATGCTCAATATGCAATTGTCTCTTGTTTTCATTTTTCTGTCACAGATCATTGCTGATCTGTACAAGGTGCACCAGCAATCCTTGTCAGCAGGCAATGTTGCGATCCTTCTGGAAATATACTCATCTGTTGCATCTCATGCCCACCAACTGAACTCTGAAACGACCCTACAGCAGAAACTACAGCAAGCGTGCACTATTATGGAGATCCCTGAGCCACCCGTGGTTCACTTTGAAAATGAGTCTTACCAAAATTACCTCAACTTCCTGCATGATTTACTACTGAAGAATCCATCTTTGTCCGAGAAGTTGAACATAGAACAGGAACTTGTGTCTGTATGTGAAAAAGTTATGCAGATATACCTAGACTGTGCTGGGTTGCACTCTGCCCGGGAGAAATCAGTTAATCGCTGGGTTCTCCCATTGGGTTCTGCGAAGAAGGAAGAACTGGCGGCCAGGACTTCTTTAGTGGTTCTAGGAGTGAGTATTTTGAGTGGTTTGGAAATCGATTCCTTTAGGAAGTATATTTCTCAATTATTCCCTTTATTTGTAGATCTTGTTCGAAGTGAGCATAGTTCAAGAGAAGTTCAGCGTGCTCTAAGCTACATGTTCGAATCATGTATAGGTTCGATAATAGTTAAAAATCTATAATTTGTAACTTAAGGTGCAGGCATGCAAGTCATCACCAATTTCTGTTTTGATCCTTTTTAGCTGGCTAAGCATTTTTACCATCATTACCATCTATTCCAATTTTGGTTGTATATGAGGGATTGTAACATATTTTACAAATGTACAAGCTGTTGTACTGTTAATATATATTGAAAAAACCATTTTCAATGCCTTGACATGCAACATTTTTGTTTTTCTGTGAATAAGTTGCTATGACTTTCATTGATGTGTGTGTGTGTGTGTGTGTGTGTGTGTGTGTGTGCTTGTGTTTATTTTGAGGTTGGAAAATTGCAGAATTGGTTCCTTGACGAGAGAAGACATTTACCGCTGTTAAAGCTCGTGCCAAACAACACTTAACAAAATAACAAAAATGGGAACTCTACCAAGCCTCTGCCTTGCTGATGATGCATATGTTTATTTTATCATAATTAAATGAGCTATTATATAATTAGGCTGTTGACTGCCGTGTGAACGTTAAACTAAAAATTGACTCTTGGAATGTATTACCATATAGTATGATCCAGTCAACCAATGGAAGGAATCAAACGAATAATTAAATTTTGTTTTTGATGCTTTCTTTGAAATATAAACTCATGTTTATTATCCAATTTGTCACCTTCTGCCTAACATGTCTGTAGCGGCAGCCATATTTTAATTATTATTGAACAAGTCTATAATACTGGGGTCAAAAGAATAATTGATTACGTTTTTTCAAATTGATTCATGCAATGGTTTTGGACTATTCTACGTAGACATATAGATAAAGAAATTAATTTCATTTTATATGATGATTAGCACTAACATTTATGTTTAGTTTCGATGGGCAATGGAAATCTGTGAATAATTGAAGGATGCTATGATGAACAAAGCCCATAACCGTCTTACTGTGTTTGGAATGCTGTGATTTGATGGGATATAGAATTCAAAATAGAATTTCAGTGTTTGGAATCTAAAGAATTCATAATGGAATTGGATTTCATGACATTTGAAATTTCAAATTATAGCTTCTTCAAATCCTATGAAGATGGTGGAATTTGGTGGGATTGGTAAACATATTAGTTGTAGGTTTGTAACTTTACCAAATCATCATTTTTTTAGTTAAACATAGGATTGAAATTCAAATTAATAAGGTTAAAATGGTAAAAAAATAATAATTCCTTTATGTTCAGGTTTCATGTCAATCTGTTTGTTGAGTTATTTTGAAGGACAAAAAGAAAAAGCTTCTTCATATTCCTCTTTCCCATCCACATTTTGGCGGTAAGCCAGGATGGAACAATCACTCTCCTCCTTCCCCTTCTCTCCTCTCCTGTTTTTTTTTTACCATCAAACAATGGAAACTATCTTCACTTTCTTGACTTGGAGTCATCTGCAATACATGTTGTACTGTATTAGACGGATTCCAATACTTACGTATGTGAGCGCTCACGTGTGTAAGTATTGAGATCTGTCCAATACGAGTATTGTATCAAACAATGAAAACTATTTTCACTTTCTCGAGTTGGAATCATCTGCTGTACAACAAGCATGCTGTACTGCATCAGACGGATCCCAATACTTACATGTGTGAACGCTCACACGTGCAAGTATTGAGATATGTCTAATGTAGGTACAACGAGTGTTGTACCATAAAGAATTCTAACTCAATTAATCTTACACCATAGACTTTTAATAAACAATGGAGATATTAAATTTGGTTGTTACAGTAGGTGGTGTTGCCTATAATAGATTTAATGGTTGCATCAAGTAATTTGAGATTTGATTAAATATCTTGTTCAAATTAAGTCCCCATATCATATAAATTTAGCCAAAATTAACCTAATAACTAAGTGTCATGCTTTAAAAAGGCTGAACTCTGGTCAGCATAGATGAGCTAGCTTTAACTTAAAAATTTAGGAACAATAATGGAAACTGAGGTGTATACATATATGAGCACACACACACACCATGTGTGCGTGTGTTTTGTATTTGAGTAATTTGTAAGAAGTCCCAAGTGAAGTAGAAAATAAACAAATCATTGAATACTGCGTCAAGTGTTGGAATAATAAAATTATACTAATCCAGAAATTAATTAAGCATCATTTTTGCATTATTATCTTTAGTTGTTGCAGATACCTTTTAATTGGGGTTGGAGTATTTGCGTCTGCGTGACGCCTGCATGGCGTTATCTTTGGTTGCGGGTCGTGACAATATGCTGTCAAATTCTTACACTAAAACTAATATCTACTACTATTTTCTTCCACTTTGAAATAATTTCTTGGAAATATTGAGCTATTATTATCCACTTCAAATTTATCATGTATTATGTTGTAGTATACAGTTACTATCTAACAGACAAGATGTGTGTGGAATTGGATCGAACCATCTTTTCACATACTATCTCAATACGTGTGTGTGGTATTGCATCAAGCCGGATGCAGGCTGTACAGTAGAATAGTATTCATAGAATTTAGTTGTGTAAGTGTCAAAAAAGTCAATTTTGGTACAATAAATACTCAAATGGCGGTCTTAAATGGGCAATTAAAAGTCCACTTGCAAATTATTTTCCAAACATGAATTATTGGAAGTGAGGCCGACACTCACTCAAAGGTACTATATATATATATATTTTTATGTATATGTATATGTATATGTGTGTGTATATACATGTACCGAAGCATTAAGGAAAGCGCGCACACACACAGTCCTCTGTTGACTGCAAGATGAGAACTCTTCATTAATGGATTACAAACTTACAAGTGGGACGGACTTAGAGGCATGCGCCTAAGTCTTGGTAAAACAAAATGGCGCCAACCACGGGAGACTAAAATGAAGTAGTGATGAAGCTGCATATATATATATATATATATATGTATGTATGAAACTACTCCATATGCTATATATATTCGTTATACATTAATGGCAGTATCTCTTTAAGATTTGGCAGCTGGTGTCTCTCCCTCCCAAAATATATTTTATTTTTGTTGATTAATACACATTTTTTTCATCTTTTTTATGCGAAAATTTATTGACTCTGTCCAATATTAAATAAAAAATAAACATGAGCGCGTTGTTCCACTTTGCAGTGTCAATTATTTAAACTTGGAAACCCAATAAAGATATATATATATATATATATATATATATATATGAAGATTGATCAATTAGAGCAAAGTTATATATATGCATGTTTTGAAAAAAAAAAAAAAAAAAAAAACTCTCTGTAATATTCTATGCCTCTTACAGTAACATTTCCCCTCAATTTCACAGGCTATAAGTTATAACATCAAATAAATGGGCCACATATATATATATATATACACAGCATATACAGCATACCAATAAGTTCATAACCCAGCATACCAATAAGTTCATAACCCTTCTTACCAATGCTTTGATATATATATATATATATATATATGCTGCATTTCTTACATAAGCCTACTTATAGCCTACAAAGATTGGTAGTCTGCATTTATTAGATGATGACCAGTTCGATAGCTGTGTTGATCAAAGTCTCTTTCATAATAGGAACCAATTCCATGCATTATTTGCATGCCTTGACTTACTATAAACTAATGCATAAGATATATATATATGTGTGTGTGTGTGTGTGTGAATGTCATGTATAATTCTAAATTATGGGATTACAAAATTGTGAATAACTACTCTCCTTTGGTTTGATTTGTCAAGAAACGTTAAATAATATGAATGGTTGAGTCAACAGTCATAAAATGAAAGTGATACGAAACTCAAGCCCTGTGATTTTCAGGATATATAAAACAATTCTTTGGATACTTGTACAGTCATTTCCATTTCTTTTTTATTCTTATATATATATATATATATGCTGTTGAGATTTAAAAAAATACATCTTTTGTCATTTATGAAAATAATCATATGATGGGCTTGGTCAATAATTTGGAGCATAGCTAGTAATTTTTTTTAGGACAGTGCTTGAATTGGTCCTATTTCTTATTTTCTAGTAATACATTGTTACAAATTGAAGACTAGGAGTAAGGTTTAAAAATACAAAATTCATGTAACATATCAGGTTGAGTTGTACCACCAATAAATTACAAATAGAACTTTTTTTATCAAATTTTTTTTCTTAGTTGATACTCACACACGCATACCTCCACTGAATCTCGAACTCCTAACCTCTCAATTTTACATCCTCAATTTAATTAATGATGTTATATTAAAAGGTGTTGTGTCCTCAATTTATTTGTACAAAAAAATATATATAATACCCAAATGTTCATGGACTATGATCCTGATTTTATTTCTTAATTACTAAAATGGTTTAAAATCCATTGAATATTCTCTTCAATATATGAAACTCAATTAATTGAAAGCCAACCGTTATCTCACACACACACACACACACACACACACACACACATATATATATATATATATATATTTTCCTTTCTTTCCATTCATTTTAATTTTCAAATATTTAAAGTACAATTTTATTAAATCATAGTTTTGTATTGAGAGAAAAAAAAAAAAAAACAATTTGGATGGCCTATCCCTTATTTTTGTGAACTCTACTTGTAAATATTTTAAGCATTAGTCCATACTATAGTATTTAATATTCATCAAATATATACAAATTTGGTGAGATTTGACTTTAAATGGTCCTTGATATAAACAAAAGTTGGACATCACCTCTTGCTTTATTACCAATTTGTTTGAAAATTTGTTAGGTTCAAAATTTTGATTGGAGGATGCAATTATTTTACAAACCATGAGCATTAAGTAGGAGTGTAGGACTTTGTCACCTCACTCAACTTAGTCACATTAATTTGTGCGTATTTTTTAATTAAATTGAACAAAATTACAAGGACAAAATATCTAAAATTATTAACATGGACAAAAATTAAATAAATAAATAAGTTGATGCCTGGTGTTGATAGGTAGAGAGAAATCTATTCTTAGCTAGAAAACCATGTCCTTTTTAAACAATATCGAGGTGGTGGTATTATAACAAACGTGTTGATAATAAACTACTAAATATTTGACAAAAGTGTTAGATATAATTAAACTATTAAAAATACATGAAAGGAAGAATTTAAAAGGAGAAATTTTGTTTTAAAGTGATCTTAGGACCCGTTTGGATTGACTTTTGATAAGTCCCTTTTGGCTTTTAGAGCCAAAAAGCTAGATTTAGGAGTGCTTGGATCAATTTTGCGGAAGAGCTTTACACACCAGGAAGAGCGTTTAGACGAAGCTGGTCCGTGGGAAGAGATGCGGGAAGCAAATTGGAGATTTAATGAACTTTTCATATTACCAAGCGTCCCCCTCATGTTTCAAAGTAAAAAAATAAAATTCCCTTTTAACATTGACATACATATATATATATACACACACATATATACAATCATAAAAGAGCACTGTTTCAATAAAATTATATATACACTCTTTAGATCACTAGATTAGAAAGACGCACACAGAGTATCCTTCTCCTTCCCCCATCTCTCTCTATTTTCTCTCTTTCTAGAGTGTTAATTATTTGTAATTTTTTTGTAGTTAGCAGAAACTTATGGTTGAATCTATTGTGAACTTTATAAATCTCAATAATCAACATCTATGATGGATTTTTTTTGTTGTCAATTTAACAATAAAATTTGTTCTCTCCGAGACCATTGTTCGTTTCTCATCTGAAAAGATTTTAAAATACTTTGTACTGAGATGAACAAACCCTATTTTTGTATAATTGCCAATCAGTTGTTTTATTTTATTTGGTAAAATTAATCCTTTTGTTGTAATCATTTTGGAGAACGGCAATTGATTATTGTGATTATGTCAATTTATTCCTGAAAGAATGCACATATAAATATATATGTATTAAATCCAGATAATATATATATATATATATGTAAAAATAGTTCTTTCAGCATTTAAAGCTCTTTTATATTATTATTCTATAGATATAAAAGTTAAATGAAAGTGATAGCTTTCATTTCTCTTTTTCTTTCGTGTGAAAACAGAAGTAAAAATTATAGCAAACGAGCCCTTAAAATCACAAAAAGATGGGCAAATTGTCCATTCTAAAATTATAACTTCTTTCACACACACATATATATATATATTCCCTCACATAAAAACAATCCCTTAGCTGAAACCGGTAAAATATTATATTTGTTAAGCTAACGAATTATCGGATTCGAATCACTAAAGAGTTATCAAATTGAATGTTTCAATTCATATCAGATTTAGTTCATATTCAAATCAAATCGGATCGAATTCGAATTCAACTTTAGATTAAAATCATATTCATTAACATGTATAATTATATTGTTAGATAGAGTAGAGAATTGTTAATATATATATATAATGAATATAATAAAAAATAATTAATATAAATATATATATATATATATATATATAATTTTATTCGAATGGATAATTATCGAGAATTACCTACTCCGTATATATATATATATATATATATATATGATGAGGGTAACGAATTGTGGATCGGATCAGATGAACCTTACCTAGCCCGCCCGCCCACCCACCGATTTGATATTAGAGGGGCAAATGATAAAAGGACAAAAAAGGGAACGCCAGTGGCAGTCAAGGTAATGACCATTTCTTCGCACGTATGCAAAACGCGTGTGGTAGAGTGTCCCCAACCCCTATAAAACACGAGTGCCAAATGCTCTTCTATCACCAACCAAACAACTCTAGAACAATTTTCCAACACTCCAAACCCGTTTCTCAACTCGATTCGTCGCCGGGACTGATCCTAACCCCACAACTATTACTATACAATGGATCTCCGACGACGATCGATGAAACCCACTAACCAATTCACTTCACCCACGATTCTCAAACCCAAGTACTCAACCAAAGCCGCCGCCGTCGATCTGGTTGACGCCGTCGATTCGCAGAAATCGTCCGAGGCCCTGTCCCTCCCTCTCTACATCAGCAATGGTGCTTTCTTCACCCTCTTCTTCTCCGTCGTCTACTACCTCCTTACCCGGTGGCGCGAGAAGATCCGCAACTCCACCCCTCTCCATGTTGTGACACTCTCCGAGATGGTCGCCGTCGTGACCCTCTTCGCCTCCTTCGTCTACCTTCTCGGTTTCTTCGGTATCAGCTTCGTCCACACCTTCACAAACCGCTCTTCCCTTGACGACGACGAAGAAGAAGAAGAGGTCGACGAGGTCGTGAGTTGCTGCCCAGTTCCACCCTCGATTGCTTCCCCAAAACCGAAGAAAATCGTCGATGAAACCCCAATTTCTACACCCTCATCAGAGGAAGACGAAGAGATCATCAATTCGGTTGTCTCCGGCAAAACCCCCTCATACGCCCTCGAAACCAAGCTCGGTGATTGCCTCCGAGCGGCTGCGATTAGGCGCGAGGCATTGCAGAGAATGACTGGAAAGTCGCTTTCTGGGCTGCCATTGAATGGGTTCAATTACGATTCGATTTTGGGGCAGTGTTGCGAGATGCCAATTGGGTATGTTCAGATTCCGGTGGGTATTGCCGGTCCTCTGTTGCTCGACGGCAGAGAATTCTCTGTTCCGATGGCGACCACAGAAGGGTGTCTGGTGGCGAGCACCAACAGGGGTTGTAAGGCGATTTACGTCTCCGGTGGAGCGACGAGCGTGTTGTTGAAAGACGGAATGACCAGAGCTCCGGTTGTCAGGTTCGGTACCGCCAAGAGAGCTGCTGAACTGAAATTCTACTTGGAGGACCCACTCAATTTCGAAACTTTCGCCGTTGCTTTCAACAGGTTTGTTTGAATCAATACTTAATACTCTCTATTCTATATTGAATTTTGTCAAGTGTTTGATATATATATATATTTTTCATTCTGAGTTCTGATTTTGATCATTTTTGCAACTTTCTTCCATGGCAGATCGAGCCGATTTGGGAGACTCCAGAGCATCAAATGTGCTATCGCCGGGAAGAATCTTTATATTAGGTTTTGTTGCAGTACTGGTGATGCAATGGGCATGAACATGGTGTCCAAGGGTGTACAAAATGTTTTGGATTTCCTTCAAAGTGACTTCCCTGACATGGATGTTATGGGCATTTCAGGTAACTAACTATTCTCTATTATGAATTGCATCACAATATTTCTATATCAAACTGTGAAATTTATCAATTTGCTATGTTTCAAAATTGTCCAGGAAACTATTGTTCAGATAAAAAGCCTGCTGCAGTGAATTGGATTGAAGGACGTGGCAAGTCGGTTGTTTGTGAGGCTATTATCAAGGAGGAAGTGGTGAAGAAGGTCCTTAAGACCGAAGTTGCTGCGTTGGTGGAGCTTAACATGCTCAAGAACCTTACTGGTTCAGCTATGGCTGGAGCTCTGGGTGGGTTCAATGCCCATGCCAGCAATATTGTGTCTGCAGTCTTCTTGGCCACTGGCCAAGACCCGGCACAGAACATTGAGAGTTCCCACTGTATCACCATGATGGAAGCTGTAAATGGTGGAAAGGACCTTCACGTCTCCGTGACAATGCCTTCTATTGAGGTAATTGATCACACCTTACGTTGTCAATGTTTTCATATCATCGGTCATTGTCTGGTGCAATACTAAAGACTGGGATGTGAATCTGAACTTAGCTAGAATCATTTTATCTTAACCATTTATAGAATAAATATTAGTACTTGGTTTGCAGATTGTTAAAGGGTATTGCAGATAAATTATTAGATTCTCATATTTGGTTGTTTATATCTATGTGCAGGTAGGAACTGTTGGAGGTGGTACCCAACTTGCATCTCAGTCAGCATGTCTGAACCTTCTTGGGGTGAAGGGTGCAAGCAAAGAATTACCAGGATCGAATGCAAGGCAGTTGGCACAAATCGTAGCTGGTTCTGTTCTTGCTGGGGAGCTCTCCCTCATGTCTGCCATCTCGTCGGGACAGCTTGTCAATAGCCACATGAAGTACAATAGATCAAACAAAGATGTTACCAAAGCTTCATCATAAATGAGCAGAAGGGTTACCCACAGTCAAAGGCCCCAAAATGGTGTAAAAATCAAATGTCAACTAGTCATGGAGGGAGAAGATTGTTAAAGTGGGGGAAAATAAACAAATAATCTAACCCAAATATAGCTCAAACAGTTTCTTTATGTATTCTTTTCTTTCTTTTTTCTTTTCTGTAACCAGTGTAAGCAATAGAAATTGTGTATAATGAGGGTGCTGAAGTGCCCAGTGTTGAAGTTTATTCTTACTTTTTTTTTTTTTTTTTTCCTTCTCCTAAAGATTGCATCCACTGCAAGTGTAGTGTTTATCTTGTATCATCTACTTACAATCAATCAAGATTTCTTTCAGTTCTTAAAAAGTTGTGAGTTTTTGCTCCAAAACCCCGTTAAACATTTATGAATGATGGGAGGAAATATAAAGACTTGGTTTTATTAGTGATTTCACGATTGCTTGTAAAAAAAATTATATGACCATGGATTTTGATGGTTTGCATTTTCTGAGATCAGAATCCACGTCAGAACTAAAATGATTTTCATTTTTTTTCTTCAAAATTTGGTCTCTCAAGTCAGTTCCACAAGGTAATGGAAAACAATTTCTCTTTTATTTTCTTTCCCTTTTTCCCTTCCATTTTCCAATTTTCAGATGAAGCCTTGGGTACAAATCAGGTATGGTGCCATTTTATCATGTACCGTGTCTTGTAAGCGTCCAAGATGAAGCAAGCGAGTGAAAATTAAATCCTCACGAGATGAGATGGGATCTATGTATTAAATTTAAGTGCTTAAGCCATCTCTCTGTGTTTCTGAGCTGGTTGATGGAAGTTTCATTGTCCAACCTGTACCAAGCCAGCCTAATAATGATGGAGAGAGAGAGAGAGAGAGAGAAGTCTTGTGGTATGATATAAAATTAATATTAGAATTACGCCTATATCCCATTTAATGCTGATCTAATTTTTCATTTGAAGTATTTTGTAGTTTTAAATTGTAAATTTAATATTAAGGTCTATAGTTGCAAATTGCAAGTGTTTGTACCATTTAAAATTATGTTCAAAGGAAAAGATTTATTATGCTTTCGCTCCCACTAAAGTCGTGTCCATGGAACTCTAATGCTGTGTTTGGTAGGAAAAAAGGAGGAGGTGTGGGAAGAAAATAGGAAGGAATAAACAAATTTTTTTTATTTGGTAAAGATGATACAAGAAAAGAAGGGAGAATAGGAAGCATGACTCATCCTTCCTCCTCTACAAATTTTCATCCGTCAAAAAGTTAGCGGAAGAAAGAAAAGAAGATAAGTGGACTATTATAAAAATTTTAAATTAAATATTACCATAAAATATACAATTTTTAAATTACAATATTATCCTTTATACTCCCTCCGTCCCATAAAAAGTGTCACTTTTAGTAAACCGTGACTCTCACAAATTGAACTGACACGGTTTTCGAAACATGACACTATTTTTGGCACGAAAGTAGTAAATTACAATATTATAAATTTTATTAGATAAAATGGTAAAAACAATTTAAACTTTCTCTTTCATTATCTCTTAACGAAGATGGTAAATTATGAGTTTATTCTCTTCTCTTCTATCTAACCGAACAAAAAGAAGGATATACGCTGCGTGATAAAGGCTTCTTGCTGAGCGATGTGCTCCACTTTTGATATTTCCCCGACTAATTCGGTTCTATCTAACCGAACAAAAAGAAGGATATACTTTGCTGTCAGTGGTTTTTGGTCGGGCCCGAGGGAGGAACTAGTAATGGGCTAACCCATCCTATAACCCAGGTGCAATTGAAAAAAATATATATTAGTATTATTGTTCTTATAAGCCCATGTACTACTATTCCTCTTTTTATCAGCCCAGCCCAATCCATAGTATTTCTATAAATAAAAGGAGTTATAAAATTTACAAAGGTTGAGCCTTAAATATGAGCAAACTCACGAACCATGAACAGGCCCAATCACAAAATAAACCATAATAAGAAAACATAACAGAGCCCAGCCCAATAAATTAAACACATTGTTAGTCTAAGAAGACCTAAACTCTTCGTGTAAGGCACTAAGACATTGGTGGATGAATATCATAGATTATTATTGTTTATCCAGTGAAATATTGAATTTTATTTTTGTTTAAAAAAAAAAAAAATGGTTTTGTTGATGACTTGATGATTTCTTGTTAAATTTAATAATTTACTATATAATAGATTAAAAACTAGTCAGGGTAGAGCACATAAGTCTTACTTTCTAATGTGAATTTATTGATAAGGGATATATATATCTTGCATTCTTGTTGGCGTTTATTTTATTATTTGTATAGCAGACTTTAGTAAATTCTTGACTGTGAAAATACGTTAGAGTTTGGAAGTGTAAATGTGTTAGAAGGTTGTAAATTATTGGGTTTAATTGAATGACTGATTGCATGAGAATTCTGTATTTAGAACATGGATGACACACTAAGCAATTATTGATTTAATTATTTTTAGCTCCCTTACTTTGCAATCCTAGTTCTGCCCCTGGTTAGGCCACTTCTTCATCTTGAGTAAGGGGCATATTCATCTTTCTTAATGAACTCATTAAATGAAGAATGATGTCTCGTCCATCCCTTCTCTCCCTTTCATCCAATATTTTTCTTTTCTATCAAATAGAGCATAAGGTATCAAGAATACACTATTTATAGTCAATGAAAATACTACTTGTTATTTTCTATTATTAAAGAAAATGGGACTCTCGAAAATAGAAGACACTAAGATCTAAAATGACTTGATAATCAATAGCACGATTAGTTCCCTTAAATTTTCATCTTTTTACAAATCACCACTTAAATACTAATAATTTACTGAGAAACCTCCCTTGAACTTTTGAAAAAAATTGCAAATACCCCATACATATATTTTAAAGGCTCGCGAACATTTAACACTCTCAGTAGTATGCATGTAGCTCATCTAACTCCCTATAGGTTTTGAAAAGTCTCTAACCTTTATTGGAGGGGCAAATAAGGACCTCCCATTAACTGACCGTTAATGGGGTGATAAAAATATTAAAATGTCCTTCCTACAATTAAAAAAATAAAATAAAAATTTTGAAGAAAAACATGTTTGTTAATATTGTTTATGTTTTTTAAAATGGCCAAGAGGCCATTTCAAGGCCTCAGTTTGTCTCTTTATCTCACGGCATTCTCTCTCATTCTCTTCTCTCTTTTTCTTTTTCTTTTCAATCAAATTTCAAGCCTTAATATAGATTTGGTTGTTGTGAATTTGATAGTGTCACTTAAGGCAAAGTTAGAGAGTGCGTCGAGATCTTTGATTTGATCAGAGCCAAGTCTCGTTTGGCCAACCTTGGGATTTTCGAAATTAGGGCTTGGATTTGGAGATTTTAGGGCTTTCTTCAATTGGTTAAGGTAAGGGTCTCTAATCCACAATCTATTGGGTTTTGTGAGTCAATTCCTCTAAATTTGTGATTTTTTATACTTAATTTGTGAATATTCCATGCTTATTGTATTTAAATTGCTAGAAAGTACAATATGGTAGTATGTTGAATTGTGAATTATAAAAAGATCCTCTTTTTGACATGGCATTGGAAAGCATGAGGCATTCATGCATGTCATTGGGTATGGAATGGGAAAATTAGATTTGAAACGAAAAGTGAAAAGTTTTGATGAAAGGTTTTGAGAAAACCTGGTGCAACCTAGAGGGGATTAGGAAGACTGCTCTAGCGTGGTTGAGTTACCTAGGCCCCAAATGACGCCATGGAGTTGCCATGGATTAGGGACAGTTAGCCAATCTTTCTCTCGTGCCGCCATGGAGTTGCCATGGGACAGGTTTCAGTAACGGTTTGGAAATGATAACGGAAATGTTTTGAAAATGGGGAGCGACATTGCATCCCATTGCTTGGCATGGTTCATTACGACTTTGATCTGTGGTTGTTGATTTTGTTGCTAAGTTCTCCCCGGCATAGCATGACCTCGTTTCCCTTATTCCTATTCATTATTTGGATTCACAGGGTTACAAGAGGTGTGTCTTAGACACCACCTACTAAGCAATTTGCTCACCCCTTTATTATTAACATTTTCAGGGCTCGAGAAAGAAGTGGCGAATGACAACCCACCAAGCTTTAAAGGGGATAAAATTTCATTTTTGCTAACTTTAGTATCTTAATCCCATTTTTTTGTAAAGCCTTATCTTAAATATGTAACTGCTTTTGTAAAGCATGGCTATGTAATGTAATTGTACTCTCTTGATGTAATGTTTAGGTTTTTATTTTTATTTTTATATATATATGTGTTAGTGGAGGGACCCATAATTTTGTTTTAAAGTGGTCATTAAGACCACATTTGTGTTTTTGTTTTCTGCATCTCACTCTCTCTTTCCCAGCTGTCCGCTTCCACCTTCCTCTCTGTTTTCTTTTTTCTTTTTCCACTTCAAGGTTTCAATCCTTGATTGCTCCCTCATTTCTTTGTGTTTTTAAGTATCGTTTGAGGCAAAACAAAGCCCGCGACGAGCTCTACGCGCTCATACAAGCAATTTCAGTTTTTGGTCTTCCTAGGGGCTTCGAATTTAGAGACCCAATTTCTAGGGTTTTGCCTATTTTGAGGTAGGGGCATCTTAATCCACTCTAGTCTTGTTCTATTGTGAATTTTACCTCCATGTTGTATTAAATATGCTTAATTTAGAGTTAATTATATCTATGATGGTATTAATGATGTCTAGAGGGTTTTCACGATCTTGAATATGGTTGGTTCATGTGCAAATTATATTTAGTTGTTAATTTACTATGTTTACTATGTGATAGCATGCTGAAATTGATGTATGAGAGTATGCTTATTTAAATTGCGCCAAATTTCCCAATTCATGATGTTGAGCTCACATATATATATACATGCACATGCTTAAATGTATTTTGTTATATCTTAATGTGTTAATAATTACTTGGGAGATGTTGAACATGTTGAATGTTTAATTTTATGATGAAAAATTTTAAATACCATGACATTGAATGTATGGAACATATATACATGCACATACCATTGGGTTTGCATGAAATGGGAGAAATTGTTCTTGAAATAAATATGGGGAATTTCAGGGAAGTGTTTTTGATAAAATGGTTTTATGCAAAACCCGGTCGCTGCGGGGTTACCAACGGGCCGGAGGTTAATATAGTCTAGAGGGGACTAGGGAGTCGCCCTAGCGTGGTTGAGCTAGCTGGGCCCCATAATGACGCCGCGGGGTTACCAAAGGTCAGGGACACTAGCCAATCCTCCTTTCGTGTCGCGGCGGGATTACCAAAGGGCGGGCTGTATTAACGTTTGAAAGTGATAATTTTGAGAATGAAAATGGGGAGTGTCATTGACATGCATTGCATTTCATGTCA